ACAAATGCAATCCATTTAGATCTGCAGATGGAAATAGCAGAGAGTAGTTTCAAGAGCACTCTCTAAACTTTACAGTAGGTGTGATGTGAGTATCGATTAGTGATAATATCCATATTTTTGTCATTTTTTTGCTTAGAAAAATCAATGGATTTCCCTTCTGTTGACTCTTGGAGGTCACACCCTGGGGCATGTCCAGGGATTAGCAGTCTTGTTTGTAGTAATGAGACTCTCAGTGGGATACTTGTGGATAAATCAGAGTTTTCTCAATATTGTCCTTTTTTTTTATCTCACACTATCTATGGTTAGCTGTAGGAAAGGAAAGGAAAGGAAAGGAAAGGAAAGGAAAGGAAAGGAAAGGAAAGGAAAGGAAAGGAAAGGAAAGGAAAGGAAAGGAAAGGAAAGGAAAGGAAAGGAAAGGAAAGGAAAGGAGAGGTGCAGAGAGGAGAGGAGAGGAAAGGAGAGGAAAGGATGATGAAGCTATGGACAGCTTGTTTGTTTTACATGCTGAAGCAAGGAAAATCACCTTTCACTGTGTTGGAAGTTTTGAGGGCAGATAGGTAGGAGTATGTATACTTGCCAGTGTTAGGTTATTCTAAATTTATACTTCACAATATTACATTCCAAGGGAGGGAGTATTCACTCCCTGCTGTCTGTGGTAGGGAATTTTGTTTTCAGTTTTTCTAGAAGACCATAAAAATACATAAGCCTAATTGAGTGATAAGGATCTCCTCTGTTTTCAAACAGCAGTGTGTATTTCCAGGAACACACTGCAATGTGTCTTGCAGAAAGATGGGTAAGATAGACTAAAATCTCATTTAGTTGTCTTGGTGCTACACATGAGACACCTGCAAGAAACTGACAGCGAGGACCGTAGATCTTCGTTTTGCTGTAGTTCTTCTCCCTCCCCAATGGCACAAAAAGCAGTGATCTTTAAAAATAGCATTTCAATAAACATTGTCTGGCTTCAGTGTGAAGTTATAAGGGAAACTGTGGCATAGTTAAAAGGTAGTTGCATGTTAAAGCTTCTAAGGAGGTTTTTCTTCTGTTCTTTGGCTTGATCTGATAGCCTTATATGTTTCTTATTATAGGCCAACCTTTAGCGAAGTGTAGAATTTTAGGTGGTCAAGGTGGGTTTATCAGGAATAAACTGGGACTTGCTTGCACACTTTTTTTTTGTTGCCCTTTAATAAAATCAACATTTCTAAGAAGCGGGAAAAAAACACACAAGCGCGTGGCCATATTTAGTTAAAAGTGTTTTTTGTATATAAAGAGCAACAAAGTACTTGCCAAATTCTACACATGTTCCAGATTCTTAGGAAAAAAAAAGAAAAATTAAAATATCCAGGCTCCCACCACCCCAGTTTGTAAACCACAAAAACCATTTGCATAAAACCATGTTTAGCCCAGCGCAATAACAACATGCTTTACAGTAATTTTACAAGAAAATCATATGCTATACAGGAGAACCTTACATCTTCAAAGATGCTACAAAAGGCCCCAAATTGGTAGCAGTTTCCATCACAGGTTTCAGCTTCTTCTAGAAGGTGGGGTTTTTTTGCCATTTAATCCTTAAGCTTCTCCCTGTTTCTCAAAGCACTTGGTCAGCAAGAGTTTTTGTCATGGTAGACCTGCATAGCCTTAGAGAGTCTTACCACAGTGCTCATGTTAAACAGAATTCATGTAGTGCAGTGCTCTTATTCCAAAGGTGAATTCCTACTTCTGCTCAACAAACCAAAGCAGAGAGCAAAGTTTTCCTCTCTGTGGCATTGTGTGATGTGCACAGTGCATGCTATGGTGACAAAGAAGATGTTCCCAGATGAATAATAAAAGGAAAATATTTTAAGAAGATGTGACATTAATATCACAGTGTTAAAAGTGGTGTTTATGTTCATTTTGGTTTTTTCCCTACTGCATAAGGGGAAGACAGAAAGGACCCTGTGAATCTGATACAAAAGCTGACAGGGAGAGTAAGTCTTCTGTTTAAAACATAAAAAAAAGTGTGAAAGGCAAAGAGGGCTTTTTGTAGAGAAGGTGTTCCATGTAAGAACAGTTCTGTAAGGATCAACACAGATAATTAGTGCTGGTTTACTGGCTGGGTTTTGCACCACCTCTGAGTGGTTCAGACTTCGCAGGAGTGATTGGGGCTGAGATGCACAATCCTTGTGCTGAAACCATTCTGAACATTCTCTCACCTTTCTGTGTTGCTCCCCTTTCCCCTTGTGCTGAGAGCCATGGTATCACAGCCCTGGATCTGTCCAGAAAATCAGTGTATGAGGATTTTGCAGCTGCCTGCTTGTGGTGTGTGCCCTGTGCATGTGTGCCTGTGACCTGGCTGCAGCCAGCACAGCTCCGCTCCTTAAACTCCAGCTGACACTCTGTAGCCTGGCAGTAGCCATGAACTCCAAGACTGTCCCATTCCACCAAATTAGCAGATGAGTGTGACTTCCAGCCCAGCTTTCTCAGTGTCTGAATCCTAGAAATAGTCTGAGGTAGTAATCGGTAAATTTAAGCTTCAAAACTAATTCTAAGTAATCCAAAACTGCCACAGGAAACATTTCTACCCTTTGCCTTCTTCTTTTCTAGTACTAAACTGAGCATCAGTTTCTGAAAAATCACTCTGATTTCCTATGGAGAATATTACTGATGATCAGTCAGGGGACACAGAGGTAAAATGTGTAATTTGTCCATCTTGTTCAGTATTATTATTTATTCCCCTTAATTCTGCACATTTCTCCACAGTTCTTCCCATAAGTCACATGTTGGTGACAGACCTTTTGGGAGGGGTTGTGGCAAAACTGTGCTGGGGAATATAATGAAAGATTGTGAAGTATTTGTCATTCACCTGGTCATTGCCAGGGGAATGGTCCTGAGGCTGAGAATCCTCTTGCCAGCCTTTGGATGTGCTTTTATTGTAAAGATTTCCTGTGAACATAATGAGAAGGCCATGCCAGGAGGCTAATTAATGGTTATTAATTAATAACCGCACAGGGCGGTGTATCCTCCTCAAGTGAGGCTGGGTGCTGGATGCAGTGGCAGGTGCTTGGTAGAAGTTTCTGGTCCCTGTGGCTCACAGATTTGTTACACTGGGCCTTCAGGAAGCTGCAGGAATGTTGGTGGCCACACCAAACACCCCATTCCCAGCAGCTGGTAAAAGAGCACAGCCTATCACTTACCAACCAAGAACAAATCTTCTCTTGCCAGTCCCATCAGGGCATGGTCTTGCCTGAGCTCTGCACTGGAACAGTTGTGGTGTGGCAATCAGTCTGAATTCTTCCGTCTATCAGACATGCCTGGACAGGGCTTTTTGGGTTTTGGAGTTTTAAAAAATTATTATTATTAATTGCTTGATTTATTAATTAATATTTCCCTGAGGAATGGCAGAAATTGAAATTTTGTCTGAAAGGAAGAAGACTTTCATCTGCAGACTAATGTGTTAATTTTTAAAAAACATTAAAAAAATTAGGGGTTTCTGCTCTATCATGACAAAAGACATGAGTTTCTCGGGCATCTTGAAAGCCATACATGTCTTTTTTTTTATTCCAAAATAGCTAGTTGAGGAGGAGGAGGAGGACTACACATTCCACTCTGTGCAGACATGTTGAAAATGTTGGAAGTTATCATGGCAAGAGGCAATTTGAGAGATGCAGCGTGCTGTAGGCAGCAGCACATTACAAAACTGTTGTAGACCTGTTGTTTGTCCACAACAAAACCCACACATCTTTAAAGAGAAAGGCCAATAATAATAAGATGGGCAGTTGTTCTTACAGCCCGGCAGCATTGCTGGGTGTTTATAACACATGACACTACTTTCTGTTGCTCTCTGTTTTATTGTGTGTAAGTGCTCACAATATCTCCATTTATGGATGCATGTTCTAGTGACCTATCCTGGAGAAAAGAAAAAAACTAAAAAACCAACCTTAAGGAGTAGATTCTTGAAAAGACCCTAATTCCTTTTTATTTGTGTAGCCTGGGTGAACAGCTCTTACAGCTGAATAATTCCTACCCTGAGGAGCATTCTTGAATTACTTTGCATTAGTCTAGGAAAGTGTGCCTGTTCTCTGCCTGGCTTTTTTGCCCCAGGAGAAGACTGGGAGAACAATGGTTGTCAGTCTCCAAGAGGAGAGCCTGGGCTTACAGTCACTGCAATTGAGGCTTTCCCATTGTGCTGCTGTTATCAACAGAACATAAAAATAAAATCAGACCATTTGACCATATGATTAACACATTCCTGTTGAACTCCAGGTGACCCTAATCTTCTGGCTCTTTACAGAACTCCTGTGTTTCTTAGGATAAAATTTCTTCCTTAACATTAAGTTCTTTTGATGCTGAAATACCCTCTGAATGGTTTGCTTATGGGGCTTCAGTGGGATGCATTGGGGCAGACAAGAAAAGATGGATTTGAATGATTGTAAAGACACACTGGATAACCAAATTCCTAACATCCAGATGAAGTTTAACCATGTAATTGTTAATTTCCTCTTGGCTTGCTGAAGTGCTTCTTGTGTTTCCTTTTGCCCTATTAGTATATTGCAAGATTGCAAAGGAATTATTTGCAATTAGCTGAACAAGTAGGAATTCTTTGATTTGCCCAAAATCATAAATCTACCCTAAGCAGGTTTTGCAACCTCCTTGTGGGATTCAGAGAGTTGCTGTTGGATTTAGACTACATTTTTTGAACTTAGACTTCCCTCTGTAAAGGGAAGTTCATGGTTTGATGGTGGAGAGTCACAGTATGAAGAGTTTTGAGAATTAAGAGATTCGAGCTTGCATTTAGTTCTCAGTGTCCTATAATCTTGCCTTTTCTCGGGGAGAATCACTTGCATGAATCTCACAAACCAAGCCTGCCCTGCCTGCCACGATCCATAAGGACCAAGGAGGAATAACAATCTCCATTCCATAACTTGCTGCGTGGCCAGCTCGCAGCACCACCAGTGCTGTAACCACAAAAAAAAAAAACCCGCTCTAAAACCGCCGCGCTTTTCCTCCCTCTGCCCATCCAGCGTGCGACAGCGACCACTGGGGACCCCACTGCAGCAGCCGCTGCCAGTGCAAGAACGGGGCCCTGTGCAACCCCATCACCGGGGCCTGCCACTGCTCCGCCGGCTTCAAGGGCTGGCGCTGCGAGGAGCGCTGCGACCCCGGCTCCTACGGCAACGAGTGCCACCAGAAGTGCCAGTGCCAGAACAGAGCCACCTGCGACCACGTCACCGGAGAGTGCAGGTGTCCCCCCGGATACACCGGCGCCTTGTGAGTGTCTTTAAGGGGCTGTGTCGCTTTTTGGGGCGGTGGGGTATGAGTTTGGAGGAGTTTGGGGTGAGTTTCCATGCTGAGCAAGCAGTTTTGGGCAAACCAGTGTTGCAGGGTGCGTTTCTTGAGGCCAAAAGGCCTCAACCTCGACCCAGACGGGTAAAAACGCACAAAAAGGAGCAGCAGAGGGTTCTTGGTGGCCATCACGGGTTTGGGAAATGGCATTGAAACATGGAGTTGTTTGGCCTTGGTCATTCCAGAGCTGTGTCAGCAGCACTGCATGAGTGCCAGACTGTGTATAAAGAGATGTTTTGGGAGCAGTGATTCCTAGAATGCCAGGTCTGCTTCCTTAGATCCGTTGTGTGGATGCCGCACGACGCTCGGTGCTCATCCCTCTGTGTCACACTGCTCTCTGGGCTCCACAATTTTGGCTGGAGGAGCTGATGATGATAGCACTGAAAACAAAGCTGGGGCCTGTGGTAACGGGTGTCTGTGCTGTCCCCACCCTGTGCACAGCTGTGAGGACCTGTGTCCCCCCGGGAAGCATGGCCCACAGTGCGAGGAGAGGTGCCCGTGCCAGAATGGAGGCGTCTGTCACCACATCACCGGGGAGTGCTCCTGCCCGCCGGGATGGATGGTAAAAAATGAGCTCTGAAACCCCCCAAAAAACCCCCCAAAACTTCCATATTTGTACATCTCAAAAGGGGGTAGGGGAAAAAAAAAGGGTAGCAAATGAGGATAGCAAATGCGGTCTGCTTGTAGCCAGGAGTAATGAGAAACATATTTTAGCATAAGGGACTGAAATAAAATGCTTGCGAAACCATCTGTTACTGAAAATGCTCCAGCTCTGCACTGCCTTTTTAACTATATCAGATTCTGGGAAGCAAAAGGAATAGTTGTGCTGTGACAAGGCAATATCCTTTAGATCTTGCCTGCAAGTCATTGGTTTCTCCATGTAGGTTGATATTAGAGGGAGATGACACCACTGTGTTTGTTAATAATGGGGTTTGTGCCCATTTTTGAATGTCAGGTATGTATGGAAAAAAGCCCAAACCTTTGCATATGTGTTCACTGCTGGAGAGGAGATGGAACATCAGAACTTTGACATTATCTTTAGGCTTCCTTCCCTTTTATCAGAGGGTAGGGAATTAAGACCTGACCTTGGAGCTGCAAATTGCCTTCCCTTGCCATCAGGCTGCCTGCTCTGAGTTGGCAAATAATGCAGCTAGAAGGTGATCAAGGCCCAGATAAATTCTTTAAATACATTTGCTGATAATACTGATCGTGAGCATTTGATAATATTTTCCATTTAAATGTTTATTTTGGATGAAAATTCACATTTACTGATGGTTTAATTACCTTGTGATTGTATTATACTGAGAAGAACCTCTGGCAGAGGCCAGTTTTTCACCAACTAGAGAGCATGCTGTAAAATACAATCTCTGGTTATCAATTTGAGCAGAGCACCTGACTACCTAGCTTGGAATATGGCCATTTTTACTTTTTATTGCATTTCATGCTAGGAGAGCAAAATTACTGGTCTTGGAATACAATGTTTGCAAAAATTCTTGACTCGCTTTATCTCCCTATACACAGCTACTAAAAAAGAGATATAGCACATGAAGTAGTGTGGAAAATTTTATACTAGTGTGTGTTAACTAATGCATGATTATTTAGACCTTTGACTAATTTAACAAGTAATTATTTAAGTATAAATTTTAATTCTAGGACTTTCAATTCTGTGAAACACTCTTTTGTCAGTTAAACCTTTTTTTTTTTTTTTTTTTTTTTTTTTTTGCTTTTCCTGTATGGGAGTTTTAAAGTAGCCAGGTGCAAATTCTGCAGGGTCTTGTGTTAGATGAAATACCTGGATGTCTTTTGTCTGATTAAATGCCTGTAAATACCTGTTTCTTGAAATGGCTTCCTAAAAGTCTTAGGTTCTGATGTTTCCCTCACCACCCAGGTGTGATTAATTCCAGGGATGTAAAAGGCAGTGCAGAAACTCGAAACCCACTGAAAGGAGCAATCATGCTACTTAAGCTTTTAGGATATCCCTCTCTAAGTGAAATTGCAAACAGCTTTTTCATTCATCAGAAAAAAAATACCCAAGTTACTATAAAGTAGAATAATTGGGGTATTAGAGCTTCTATTCACTTGAGGGCATTTCTGGGTGTATTGATATATAGTAATCCTGGTAAATAAACTGGGAAGAGCTTGACATCAGTTAGTCTTACAAGTGTGTTTTTACAGGTGCTTAGAGAGGGTATTTTTCATGAGCTTTTACTTCCAACATGGAAATCCTAGAAGATTATTCCTCCAGTGCTGGAATATGCCCCAAATTTAAAGCTGGAGAAGGGTCTGGCATTTCCAAGATCAGCACTGGGAGAGTAAATACAGGATCTCCCTGACCTTCCCTCGTTTTCTCCTTGTCCATTCAAGCTGCAGTCCCAACTCTGAGATTTCTCTCCTGCACTCACAGGGCATGGTGTGTGGTCAGCCTTGTCCTGAGGGTCGTTTTGGGAAGAACTGCTCGCAGGAGTGCCAGTGCCACAACGGAGGGAGCTGCGACTCGGTGACGGGTCACTGCCACTGCAGCCCGGGCTACACAGGGGAACGGTAAGGAAAACCCACTCCTGCCAGGCTGCTGAGCCTGGAGGGCTCTGCTGCAGCAGGGGAACCTCAGAAGCTGGTATAAAGAACAATGGAAGTATCTGAGACATGATCAAAAGCGCTAATTTTGGTGACAAAATGCTTGCCGTGTCACTCGGCTGATGCCGGATTGCAAGTTGGAAGCCCATGTGAAAGAACACTTCCTGTGAAGGAACTGCTAGGTTTTCCTGCTTTCCTGCTGTGCTCTGGCACTTCTTGTGGATCTTCCTCCCTTGGAGAGCCTTGCAGAATGGTGCAGCCTGTGCTGTGGTGGAGGGGTGAGGAGGGAGGCTGGTGGGTTTGTGCAGATGTCTGGCACTCACAGCAGCGAGGGAGGCTCGGTCAGTCCCTCTTCAAAGGCTGCAGCCTGGACAGTTGTCTCCTAAAAATGCTCCTCTCAAACGAAATGAAAAATTTAATCTTCTGATGGCTGTATGAGTTGACTTTGGCAGATTGGAAAGATAGCAGTGTGAGACATCGCTCTTGAAGGCAGTGGAAAGCGATGAAAGAACGTTTTCCTGCGTGTATTTTAAGCAGCACACAACTCATTTGCAGGAGTCAGCAGCAGCCTGATCACTGGGGTCAGTCCAGGGGATCTCTGCCAGCAGCTGTGGGTATTGTAACCATATGCACACATGAACCTTCACAGGACGTGGGAAGTGCTCTGCCAGATATAATGTGGAAAAAGAGCTCAAGAAGAAGAGGAATAATTAGTCCAGAGCCATTTGCATGCCAAAGTTATTTTTGTGTCTGTGAAGAAACAGTGCAGAAGGTGGTAGATGCATTTAGGCAGACATAGACAGGGGCTCCAGGGGAGAATCAAAGGGGTAACGACACAAGTGTCTACACAGTGCCTCTACACTGGTGTTTCTAAAAGTAATTAAATTTTTCATATTGTAATAATTTAATATTGTAATTGAAAATTAGTATTTTCGTATTGTAGTAATTTCAGACTTTCATCTGAAATGCCTTGCAGTTTGCAGCAGTTTTGATCACATTTGCAAATCTGAGCCCCCCTCTTTTTCTGCAAAAGAGGCTGTATTTTCAATTCATTTCTCAAGATGGTTCCAAAGGCAGGAAGAAGTCAATGGCAAGGCTGTAGACCAGGTCCTTATAAATGTCAGAACTGTGTGGGCAGTGTCTGAGGTAACCCATACACACCATCTCCAAAGGTGTGGTTTTTGCAAGTTAAATTTAAAAAGAATGAAAGAAATAAAAATAAAAATTCAAGGTTAAATTTTGTCTAGTTTGGCTGGGATTGCCTGGTTGGCATTTGAAGAGAATTCTTTCACAGCTTTATTTGTATAGTTTAAATCAGGAAATATTGATACAGGGTAATTAGCTCTATTCTTAGGCTACACCTTAGGAGAAAATAAGATTTTACTGGTGATTTCAGTTAGGACAGAGTTACAAATAACTTGAAATTTCTGGATATCAGCAACAGATTGAGAAAAATACTGCAGAATATGTCTACCCATTTTGCTTCAGTTGGAGGGCTCTGCTAATTTCTGTTATATTTTGCAGTGACTTGTATCATGTGTCTTTTAAATTCTCGTGTAATGAACCACTTGTCATACCTGAAAGCAAACCAAAACAATAAAACAAATTTATAAGAAAAACAGTGGAAGAAACCCACCCCAAAACAAAAAACCACCCCATTAATAGTGTGTTATATTATCAACTAGTATTTTTAACAGTCTGTAACTTGACTGGCAATCAGAATTTAACAATTCCTTTCTAGAACACAGGAAAGACAAAGCTGAAAACTTCAAAATCTTAAGACACAGCCAAATGAAATTACTATCCAGAAAATCATTAGTTAATGATTTGCAAATTTGAAAAGCAGGGTACGGAAATTTTGTATTCTAGTACGGAATATTCAGGCTAAAGATACAGACTGATTTTTAGGTTAAACAACATGTTCCAACTATAAAAACTTAAAGAAATAAATCTGTTGGCAAAAGTGTATATCATCTTAAAACTCTGTGAATGGTAGAGGAGAAGTTTGGTGAAGAAGTCTCTTTCTTAAGATATATTTTCCTTAAGCAGCAACAAAAATCATTCCCCATGTGGGTTGAACTCCAATCTTTACTGATTTTCATTTTCATCTGTCAGAAAAATCAGATGAAAAGAAGGGGTTTGATCTCCTGAAGGTTTTTCCAATTTACACAGATTTTTGCTCTTACTTAAGTGACGTCTCTGACCAGCAGAAGAAATTCCTCATAAACCCTATTTCCTTTAAACCTCCATAAGCTGTCATTTATGAGAAATACAACAATTTTTTTTTTTGTTGACTGGGGTTGTTTGTTTTGGGTTTTTTTCCCTCACAGGTGCCAGGATGAGTGCCCAGTGGGGAGCTACGGGCTGCGTTGTGCAGAGACCTGCAAGTGTGCGAACGGTGGGAAGTGCTACCACATCAATGGTGCCTGCCTCTGTGAGCCAGGCTACACCGGGCAGCACTGTGAAACCAGGCTCTGCCCCGAGGGAATTTATGGCCTCAAGTGTGATAAAAAGTGTCCCTGCCACATGCCCAACACCTGGAGGTAGGCATTGCACCCTCTGCCCTGCTTTGTTTTTCATAAGTGAAACACAGAAATACAAATGTAACCTGAAAAGGGGTTATTTCCTGGTTTTTCTAATACTTTCATGGAAACTGGAGCAGCTGCAGACTTGTATTTGACATTCCATGGCCACAGTGAGAAAGAAAACACCAGCCCAAAAGATGCTTTTAGTTTTTACTTGCAAGCATATTTGATCATAATGTTCACTGCTGCGTTTGGTCTCTGACCCATGAAATAAATACTAAGACAAAGCATATGCACATGACCTTTATCTATGTTTGCCACCTGAATAAATCATTATGTTGTTCACTGCATATAGTCACGGGCTGTCTCTCACATACTCTGGTTTACTGCAGATGAGAAATAACCAAATTGAAATCAATGGATGTGTAAAGTCCTCTGAGTTGGGCATGAGAAGCTTGGACATTCCTCTCCCTCAGTCTCTCTCTGTATATAATAATTGCTCTGGGTGACTGTTTCAGTACAAAATTTCAAAACCCTCAACTATTGTAAATCTGGGTTTGAAAAGTACATTTTTTTGTCATTTAACTGCTTTTTCAAAGGAGCAGGTAAAATCCAATCCCTGGAAATCAAATGAGAAATAGTTTTCCCAATAGCTTAGCTTTTACACATCTCTCTTTACTCAGGAAGCAATGAGCCCTATTTTTTTGAGTTTTTCTGGATTTTGACAGCATTTGGGCATATTGTTATGAAAATATAAAAACTTATTTGGAGACAGAGTTTCAGCTGTGAGGGAGGGATGTCAGGTGTCAGTTGAGGCGAGAATGTATATTTATAGAACAATTGTGGACAGCTTTCTCTTGTTACAAAACAGTTCTTCTGATTAGATACTGTGGTTATTGTGCATTGACTTACACTTAATTGCATTACTATTAACAGTACCTTGGACAAGGTTTGTGGGCACAGTCTAAAGTTTTGCTGCTGAAAGTAGCTGTGGGGGGAAATTTACAGGAATTATTGAGTGTCACATAGAATGCTGCTGTATATTAATATAACATGCACTTTTTCTCATAGACAAAATAAAATTCTTTAGTCAGAATTAAGCAGTGATGTTAAATCTGTGAATGGAAATAGCTACACTCTTAATTCTCTGTGAAAACTTACTTTGTGGTTTATTGGAGTTGTCCAACACACCTTTTGTTGACAAACTGTGTGATAACAAACTGAATTCTTTCCCCCTTCCTGTCATATAGTTTTACAGTTGTGTACTTGTGCTTCTGCTCATCCCATTTGCCTGAAATACCTTGAAAAAAATGCAGAGTTTTTCTGATGTAAAATCAACCAATTTATTATTTGGGCAGTGTGTTCAGGAATAAATGGCACCATAATGCAAGGCCCTCCAGCTCTCAAACTAGGCAAGCACACCAAATACTATTGTGTTATGAATTATTGTTAGCTACTTTCCTGAAAATCTGTCTGCAGACTGTTGCAGCAGCCTGGTTTGACAGGAATGCATTGCACTGTATACCATTTCTAATATTACAGGGATTACTTCTGATTCATGTTGCACACAGCTGCTCCTTCATTTATACTACTGGAAGAGACAGCTCGTGGTCAAATCAGATCACAAATGTTCACAATGGTAAACAACAGCATTTGACTGGTCTTTTTTTTTTTGGGACATTTCCTCCCCTGAATGACAAATCCAAAGGCACTTAACAACCTTGAAGGTGCTGGAACACATTTGCCAGAGCATCGTGATGTGTGAGAAAAACAAATATCTTCATTGCTTCACAAGTGAATTTTACATACATGTAAGTTCCTTACCCTTGGGTCAGCAAGTGACCAAGACCATAAATAGCAGGAATCAGGGTAATGATGAAGAAGATAAAACTTCTTGTGGACACTTGAGGCTTTTGGGAATCTTTTTGGAAGCCACTTGTGTCTGGCTGTCCTCACCTCTTGATGTCAGTCAGCCAGGAGGCAACTCTTAAATCATGTCAGGGGACACCCTCAGCCCTCTCTTGCCTGCCACAAGCACTGCTTGGCCTGTCTCTAGCCTGAGGAACTTCACAGCACTAATCCATTTAGCAGCAAAGTAATACCAGGGCACGAAAAAGAAGGGGGTGGAATTCCTTCTGCAAGTAAACTTCGTGTGTCTGTAGGTCTGGGGTTCTGTTTTGGGGGCCCTTGATGCCATAAAAGCTTTTTTTTCATCTGGGTGTGATCACTGGTTTAGATATCCTCAGAAAGGAGCTATTGCTAGGCTTAGAGCTCTGGGTTATTTGTATTAATCAATACAGAAATGAACTAAAGGTTAATTTTAAAATTATGCTTAGCTCTAAAAAATCCTGCTCTAAAGAAGGTGTATGGAAGTTCCAGAATACAACTATGTTTTTAGTAGTTTTCTTCACATACTCCTACACTTACATTGTTGAAAAATGCTCCTTCTTTGGTTTTTATTCCTGTTTTATGATTGACAGAAAGATGGCATTATAACAGCTCTGACAATAATTCATTATTTGCATTTTGGGTAGGATAAGCTGTAGGGATTTTGCTGCTGCTGTTGGTCGATGGCAGCTCCTGGAGATGAAAGGCAAGCCCTTCCTTGCTTTTGGTTATACCAGCAGCCTTTATTAAATGCTTTGTAGAGCATAAAAATAGCTACACTTGAGAGATTTTAATCTGTTTGAGGGGCCCAGAGGACAGCAACAGGTAAAAACCTTGTTACCAGCACCCTTGGTACAGTTCAGACTGCAGTTAAGATTTATTCATGATGTGAGCACTAGTGGGGATTTATTTTTATTTTTTGTCTCATGCCCTTTCTGAGATACCTGTGTAGGATTGCTTGCAGTTTTATTGGTGGAATTGATGTATTGGTCCATGTAGTTTGGCTCTGTTTTTAAAGTAAAGATTAGGGCCTTTTAATTTTCCATTTTTCTAATGGGCCTTCATGTACAGATACAAGAGATTTTCATGGAGATTTTATTCTTATTCATGTTTTTTTTATTTTTTAGAGTGTTGCACAATTTGGTTGGATATTTTAAAAGCAAAACACATCAATGAAGCATATAAAAATCATTCTTTTCATCTAGGTCATTCAAATACATAATATGCACTACCCACAAGTAATTTTTTTTGCCTCTGTACAGAGTAGGGTTGCATTTCCAGGAGGTGTGAATAGACAGCCGGGAATAAAAGAGGATATAATGCCAGTATCTCTCAGCATCTCTTTATTTCCCTACCTTAATATTTAAACATTATTGCCAATTAAGATAACTGCGTGAGAACCCATCAAAAACCTCCAGAAGTGCTTTGGCTTCCTACATTTAATTACAAATCACGGAATACTAATTTGGGCGTCAATCAATACGTGTGCAAGGACGCCTCAGTGACACTCACTGGGGGGCACAGAATATCAATGCCTCTGCCTCATATCCAGTGCTTCCTCATGCATGTGGGCTCCCCCTCCCCTGGAAGGGGGAAAAAACCCCACAAACCCCAACAACAAACCACACTTCCAATCAGGAGTTTTTAGGAATTTGTCCCATGAATGCTGGGATTAATGTCTTAAACGTGCCAGTGCTACTGAATTTATGTTATTAGTATATTCTGGTTCTTACCCTGACTATCTAGTTGTGGATTGACTTTTTCTTTTTTTTTTTTTAAATTTCCCTGCTCTGCATTCTTCCACTGATGAGAACTTGGGGTCCTACAGGAATTTAGGGCAGGGTACAAACCTGATTGTCTTGCTGCATCATGTGTCTTCATAATTTTGCCAGTGTTTTATATGAGAATAGTTCCCTTTCATCTTGTTTCATGGCAGGTGTGCACATAAGTAACAAATAACCAGGGCTGTTCATGAGTTTTGAACCATTTCTGCATGAAAAGGCCTTTCACTTTGTGTCAACACTGTCAAAGGTATTTTAATATTCTGAAGACCCATGAATTTTTATGGTGCCATAGCGTGTGCATTAAATATGCAGAAAGCAGAATACATGGTGATGTTCATGGTCAGAAAAACACTCAGTTTCCAGTACACCCCCACACACAAAGTCAGCAAGTCTTGCAAAACCAGGCTCTTGTCATGGGTCATTTAATTTGTCTGGAGGAAGACTTTTTTTTTTTTTTCTTTGTCTTTCCAGCACTCTTAAAGGAGCTTCACTTCAGTCAGTGGGAGGCAAATATCTCTGAACAGTCTTCCCATTGTAAATACATTGGATTTGGATAGCAAGGCTTTCCTTTGGTGAGAATTAAGCAAATGCTTTGTCTGCCAGAGGGCTACAGAGCACCCCATTGTGTCCCCTCTCCCAGCCTATATATCTTTGCACAGCTGATGATGTCCATTTGTTAGGAGGCAGCAGCTGCCTGCGTGGCCCTTCAATGAAACTGCTGTTCCAGGTACAGAGGCAGCTGCTCTGCCACCAGGTATGGCCAGCAGAGAGGGGAGATACTCCCCAAAAGGTCACTGCTCTCATGCTATAGCTGGCTTCTGCCCAGCGCTGATGGTTTTGTACCATTCCCTGAAAGATTCCAGTTGTCCTCTTCCGAGCTAATTTAATGAGAGGAATGTTCTCCTGCTCTGCTGATGGAGTGCTGTGTTGTTATGTCGTGTTGGATGGTGCCATGCTGCTTTTCTTGATCATGTTTCGCTGCTGAGCTTCTGCAGTGTTAAGAAAATGATCCTCTTAGAGTGGGAACGTAACAACAAATGCTGGGGAATTTAATGGTTTCATCCTCTTAATATTTGTATCCATAGGTATCTGTCTTATGGTAAAAAAGGTGTTCCAGCAAGGTTTCTGTTCAAATACAGACAGAAGAACGATAGCCCTCCATTTCTTTCCATGTCTTTCCAAAATGTCTGTATGCTGTGTCACGTTCCATTTCCTATCTTAATTGGCACATATTTTTATATAAACACACCAAATCACGTTCTGGGAAGTAAAATCATCTCACACAAGGCCCTTCACGCAACCCATCTGCAACGCCTTTTTTTTTTTTGTTTTGTTTTGTTTTTTTTGTCCTGTGGAGAGAAAATAATATTTATGGCATGTTTAGTCCTGAATTACTGAGTTAACCTTTCATCCCCCACCCGTGGCAGCTGTCACCCCATGTCTGGAGAATGCTCCTGCAAGCCAGGCTGGTCTGGGCTGTACTGCAACGAGACGTGTTCCCCGGGCTTCTACGGAGAGTCGTGTCAGCAGATCTGCAGCTGCCAGAACGGGGCTGACTGCGACAGCGTCACTGGGAGGTGCACCTGTGCCCCTGGATTTAAGGTAAAAGAGGTCTCACTTTCACGGTTTCACACTTTTTCAGCCCCAGTTGTGCAACAAATTCTTCAGGGTGCCACCCCGTCCTTCCTCCGCCGGGGTTAAAGGGAAAGTGAGGGTGTTTGGGTAGCGCTGCTTGTGCTGTTGGACCCTGAAAAGTCAACATTTCTGCTGGGTTCTCAGTGCTGAAATGAAGGTATTTTTAGAAGGAGAAGTTGTTTGCTTTATAAGATGTTGGTAAGAATGAAGCCATGCTGTTGAGGTGTAAGTAAAGGGAAGAATGACAGGTTTCAGTCATCAGCTCCTCAAGCTCCATCCCCAGAAACTCCAGCCAAAAGCAATTCTTTTTATACTTCAGGACAGATTATTCTGCAACTTTTGCACACATTTGCTGTTACATGTGCTTTGGATGCTAACCTACCATTTTACAGTATGACTGTTCTTGTAAAAGTAATAACTGAAAACGTCAGCCAAATTAGCTCTTAAAAATGCTTTACATACCCACATAATTTACCATTAAACTGCTTTCTTATTGTCTTGGTTTCATAAAGATCTCCTTTATTACTGCCCATTGATCTAATCAGGTGCTTTGTGACCTGCACCCTCACAACAAATTGTAGAAAAATAGTACTTAAAAAGACTTAAAAATACTTCAAAAGCATGAAGGTGTCCCTCTCCCCTAAATTAAACATAATTTAATGACAGCCTAGGACATGCCTGAGCTGTATTTCTTCTGGCTTTTGTATCACTTCAGTCAGTTGTATTGTCTGAGGCTTCTCAGAATAGTTTTTATACTTTATTTTTATTTTTATTTTTATTTTTATTTTTATTTTTATTTTTATTTTTATTTTTATGGTATCCCTTGTCTGCCTGGAACATATGGGGTGAACTGCTCCTCCGTGTGCAGCTGCAAAAACGGGGCCACCTGTTCACCTGTGGATGGCTCTTGTGCCTGCAAAGCAGGTAAGTGTCTCCTCAGATTGATTTTAATTCTCTGTGACCCTGAAATTAAATTGGGTTTCTGAAGTAGAGGAGAGGAAACTTAATGAGAAACAGACACTTGATGTTTCTGCTGCTCTGGGAGGTGAAAACAAGGAAAACATGTTCTCAGGGAGGAAAGCATGTTCTCTTCTCTGTCAGGAGTTCTGTGGGCTGTACCCTTTATTCTATGTCAGCATTCCTAATCAAAATCATACAGAATCCTAGAACGATTGGAAATTATGTAACTTTCTGTTTTGTTTTTTTTTTTAATTAATGATTTTCATTCACTCTTAATAATTTGGTTTTAATTAATCATAACCAGTATGTTCAATATAAGCAGTGTGTTAGTTTTGAATCACTTTTAGCCACAATTTAGCAAAGTTTGTTGTAAGCAGCTATTGTGGGAATACAGCTTGGGAAAAGTTACTGAAACTTCAAGTTCTCCTTAGCTAACTTTGATATGCCTCAGTGAACAAAGCCTGGGGGAGGGAGAGAGAGAGAGAGAGAGAGAGAGAGAGAGAGAGAGAGAGAGAGAGAGAGAGAGAGGGGGATGTGTTGTTCAAAATGAACACAAGAAGTGCAGAATTTATGGGCTACAAAGACATTTTGCAGAAACCAGAAGATGAGGAAGACAACAAGATAGCAAAGACTCCATATATGTGTGTTGGAAACTCCCTACATGGAGAAAAGATAAGAAAAAGTGTAAAAAATACAGACTAATAAGCCTGAGAAGCGAGGAATCAATTACCAATTGAGGATAGAATGCAACATAATGAAAGAGAATTACATCATTTAGAACCAATGAATAATAATGTATTTGTTTGCTAAAAATGTACAAATAGGTGAGAAAGTTTTTTGTCTGCATCTGTGTGGAGGCCAGAATTTTGTCAGCCACACACACAGACCCTGACCAGGAATAAACTAATGCCTGACTTGCTGACACAGAAAAGTGTTAGAGGGGTTTATTTATTCCAAGGACTTTGGAGGATTTGGTAACACTTTGGGTTGGAAGGGACCTTAAAGATCATTTTTGTTCCTCTCCCTGCTATGGACAGGGACACCTTCCACTATCCCAGATTGCTCCAAGCCCCATCCAGCTTGGCTTTGGACACTTCCAGGGATCCAGCCACAGCTTCCCTGTGCCAGGGCCTCCCAACCCTGACAGGGAAAAATTTCTTCACAATATCCCATCTAAACTGAGATTGCTAGACAAATAGCCACTAAATTTTTCAGGGACTGACACTGTTAAATCAGTTGTGGAGTAAATGTGGAACTTCTCCTCTTTCCAGAGAAAAGTGAGGGTCATTTAACCCTGTTCAGGTAGATACTGCAAAGCAGCTAGTTCTTGAGGAGAAAAATATTCCTTGGGCAATGCAGAATCCTATCTTCCTGTATCTCATGCAGTTTTAATCATACTACAACGAAAAAGGGCAGCAAAAAGTAAAATGAAATTGAACAGAGGTACTTGCCATGTAAACAAAGGAAGATTATAAATCCTGGGAAGACAGTTGAGGGAAAGTGTCTCAATTTCCTAGCCAAATTATAAAGAATACATTTCTTCCTGAAATGACCCCTAAATTTGAAGTTATCAATGAAGCACGAGGCAGCCTGATTTCTGTGCATGTGTTTTGCATAGCCTATTGATCAGTCTCAGTGCAGAATTATTTTTACCCTCCACTTACTGTAAACAAGGTACAAAATTAGAAACTTGGCCTGTGTCACTGGTGGTGGTAATATGTGACTGACTGCCTCACACTGTTCCTCTTGAATCCAATGGATGATCACATTTTAAAAAATCTATTCACATCCCAGTCTATCTAGTCTGCAAACCATTGCTATCAGGCATGATCAGTGGTGAATGCTGCATTTTAGAACTATTTTCCATTACATTTCTTTTTGTATTTGGAGAGAAGTACAGAAATCATCTGAAAGCTCTTCTGTATTTCCTTGAAGAATCCAATTTATGCAATACTTTCATGGGATTTTGTTGGTTTGTTTTTTTGTTAGATACCTATTAAAACCATATCAGAGGACTGCCTGAGTTGAATGCTGGTGGAACAATTATGAAAGCAGCTGCTTGAGCCTAGGGAAAATATTCCTATTTATTTCCAGGCTACACCTTAACACTCTTAGTGTAATTTAGAGCTTCTCAGTGAAGGTGTCTCGATTTCCATTTCAGATCTTCAATCAGTCTCTTTTGCTTGTTGGCACCCACCTGCAGATGTGTGCTGTGCACAGATGTTACAAGGTGCCCTTCAACACCTTTGTTCCAACCTGGACAAGCCCTCAGCTTAAGCTGCTGATAAATCCTGCAGTGAATTTTACCCCAGTATTGCCCATCTCAGAGACATGCCCCATGGCAGGCAGAGGCAAGCATCCTCTGAAGAGGAATGGGGGAAAAAACTGATGAATTTCTGTCTGTAATCCCTTTTTTTTCTTGGCAGGTTGGCATGGTGTGGATTGCTCCATAAATTGCCCCAGTGGCACGTGGGGACTGGGCTGTAACCTGACCTGCCAGTGTCTTAATGGAGGGGCTTGCAACGCTCTGGATGGAACCTGTACCTGTGCCCCAGGATGGAGGGGAGAGAAATGTGAACTCCCTTGCCAGGTAGTTTAATAGTCCCACTGAATTCTGAGGTTTTGTAGAAGAATACTGGATGAGTCCCTTCAGAGTGCACAGAACAGGGTGCAGGGACAGGCACCAGCAATTCTCCTAACACTTCTTCACCAAATCCTATCAAACTGCTGCTGTTCAGCTACTTTTAAGTATAAATACTGAGAGAAAAATACCAAAAATACACCCCAAACCAAATAATGTCATTTAAATTACTTTTTTTCTTATGTCTGTGTTAGAGTATGAATAAAGAATTTTCATTCCTTCTCAGTCAAATGTGAGAATGTACTCTCAGCTCCCAGTTCCATGACAGGGCTTTGCTTTTCTGCTGGGGCTTTGACTTCTACTCTCTCCCAGACTTTGGAAAATCAGAAATCATTGTGACAACAATAGCATGCTCCTTACCAGCTTTGTTCCATCTTGTAATCTGCATTTTTGGGGAAATAAAATACATAAATTCAAATACGTAATTTCAGAAGTTTTTAAATAGTAAAATTCCAAGTGGATTTGTTTTATTGTGTAACTGTTCAGTTTCAATTGTATTTCAAACACTAGAAAAAGAAAAGACAAATATTTTATATTTTATAAAATAATGTGGTTTTCCAGAGTCCACTGTTTTCAGTGATGGACTTCAATTTTCTGGGAAATTTTTAACGAAACTAATTATTAAAATAAACTGCTCTCTGCTCTTCTCCTTTCCCCTGTCAGTTGTTAACTTTTGCAGTGTATGAGTGCAGAGCAGGTTGTTGGCTTGATGTAACTGCAAAGGAGTCACCTGAAGTGAACACAAACCTTTTAAATTCCCCTCCCACATCTGATTTAAGCTTCTTTCAGTTTGGACAAGCTCTACTGAGCAATGACACGATGGGAGTAGCTGAACTGTAGCAGAAAACTGGAAATCACCTCGTTTTGAATGAGAATTTGTTCTGTTGAGCTGCACTAGGAACACTCAGGAGTGACTTTTTGGGTGTTTACATTTGGTTTTAAGACGAAGCACTCCTGTAATGAGTAAAGTGCCAAAGGAAATGGAATATATTCTGGAAGGCTGATATCAGTACCACCTGTTCAATGTTTCCAACAATGCATCTCCATCAGAAGACTGATTCTTCTGTTTTCTCAAACAGCTTTGTTTACCACTTAGTGCCTGATTCTGGAGGGCGATGAGACCTCCCAAGCTGCCTTAGCTCTTCCAAAACTGACATTTAAAAAAGACATGTATCGTTTCAGAGCAGCTGCATTACTATCCCAAACTTAGTAAAATAAAGCTTAAAAGCATTTTTGTATCAGATAATTCAGCATGCCCAAGCTCACTGTCTTCCTCTCCCTCTCTCCATCAGCATCAAACCATGTCCATAAGCATTTATCTATTTCAAATGCAAATTCTGCTTCGAAATTCCAGAGTGAGGGAACAAGCAGAAATCGTTTATTCAAATAATAATAAATATAACAATTTATAAAAAAAATAATTCAAATACTTCCAGTTATCTGAAATGTTTTTCATGTCTGAGCAGACACTTTATTTAAATCAATATATTTCAATTTGTACTTCAGAACATTATTATCACTGCTCAGATTGTTGTTCAAGATTTGAACTACAGTTTGGACTTCAGTCCAAGTACATAGCAGGCTAAAAATACTGCTTTTCAACAGCATATTTGAGGATTTCCTTTCATTCCAAATCTGATTGTATGCAGAGGAAATGCTTAATCTTTTCTTTTTCTTTATATAAGAATGTATTGTTGAGATGAGCAAAAGGCTCCTTACTCCAAAGTAATGTAAGATTTTCTTATGATTTAGACTTGGAAGACTGGCAGTTGAATAGCTAAATCCTGTGGCACTTGGTTGGAATGTATGCATGAACATCAAAGAACAGCAGATTAATTTTCATACAGGTTTTATTAAGATTTATGATTATTGATACATGGTTATGATTTATTACAATTATGATAGCTTTTTAATGCAACTGACACCACTTTTTAGCCTTGAATGTAAATGGTGGGGGGTTAAACTGGACATGTTTCTTTCCCTTCTTTGCCTTTGCTGTGGGTAACCCTGGAGTATTACAGTAAATTATAGTGGCCTTTTTTCCATGTTCTTTTTTAAATTTGGTTCTGACACTTTTAATTCAAGATCAGTGTACTGTTATACTTTGCCTTGTTTGGAAATTGTAAAGAATCTTCCCAGTTTCTTGGGTTGATTTTGTGTGAAAAGCAAATTCAGATGTTTAGATGTTTTTCATAAAAAAAGAAATACACCAATCAGGAAGATTCAACTTTAATCTCTTGTTGGTTCAAAAAATGTTGCATAGGTAAAAATAAAAGTTCTGTTTTGAGCACTGTCCCAACAGCCAAAGATTATCTCTCTTTGATGGAGTATATGTTGTAGGGCAGAGAGAAATGTTTTTAATCAAAAGAAAAATGTTTCCCATCAAAAGAAAGTGATTGTTTGCATTATTTATGCAGTGAACCTCACACTGAAGGTATCTTGTAATTTAATGGTTTTCACTCGTTTTCTTAAAAATTATGCCTCTGTGTGGTACCCATTTTGACCCATAAGCAGAGATCTCAGGGTTTGATGCAGAAAGGAGACTTAATTGCTTTAGTCTGGGATTTTTCAAGAGAGCATAATTCATTCTTTATCTTCCCCTCTTTAATGAAAGAACGAAAGTGTAGGATGCTGACATGTTCCAAACGCCGCGAGTGTTTTACATTAACATCAGCCTGGAGATTCGGGAGAGATCTGTGGTTGCTTTTTCAGGCTGGGCTGACCACAACTTATCTCTCCCCTAACTCCCAGCTGCCATCATCTCTGGGTTGTTGTGTTTTTTTTCGTTGCCACAGGACGGTACCTACGGCCTGGACTGTGCTGAGCGCTGTGACTGCAGCCACGCGGACGGGTGCCACCCCACCACGGGCTACTGCCGCTGCCTCCCGGGATGGTCAGGTATAGGAGACACCCTTGGGAAGCACAAACACAGTTTCCCCCTCAGTGGGACTCGGTTTTGTGGGCAAAGGAAGAGTTTGTGAGGTTGGAAGGGGAAAGGGCCCCGTTCTCTGGCTGCTGAGTCCCTCCTGTGACTCACGGGTGGGAAAGCTTTGTCCAGTGTGGGATCTGCAGAAAACTGGGAATGGAGAGGGAAACATTAAGGCTTGGGCACTTCCACTACACAATTCCTTACAGAAGTGGTGATCAACTGGAGATATCCAAGGTTGTTCTGGCAGCTTTGGGGTAAAGCATCCATGTCCAGGAGCTCAGGAAGATTCATTCAGGCAGCCAAGAAGAGGATAAACCATTGTCCTAACTTGTCATCCTCCTGACTGGTCTCAAACCAAGACAGCCATGCAGACTGTGACAAACTGTGCTGCCATTTCAGTGTCTCAACCTTCTTTAAGTTTCTCTGCACATCTTTTGTCCTATGTGAAAATCATTTTTTTTCTTTCCCCTTACATTTTAATTTTAAGAACTTACATCAGTCAAACCATTCACCAGAATTTGTGTTTGGCACTGTTGTTGCCCCTTCTTGCTGGTGGAGAGCAAGATTTATTGAAAACCTGGTGGAACTGTGCAGAAGGGCAGCTGTCATGAAATGTTCCCTTTATCTCCAGGAGGGAGTTTTAAGTCTCACAAGAATTTCTTAGGAAGAGCTCTTTGATCTTCAGTAAGGTTTAATTAACACTGTAAGTTTTCCCTTCTTGGAGTGTTCCAGACTTGCTGCCTCACTGTGATGCTGCAGTGTTGAAAGGGTCAGATCTCACATCACCTGTCTGTGTGGGCTCCTTCCACTCAATAATGAGGAGTCAGCATGAAAAACAAACCTCAAATGAGCAAAGCATGTTTGTGCTCTGAAAATCAGTGATTTGTGTTTCCTTTGTGATTTCAGACATCTTCCACTCTTGTATAAACTGATGTTTAGCCTAAGTGACTTGAAGGTTGATGGTAGAATTATTTTCCTTTTTTTGTGGTGCTTTTTGACAAAGTAGGTGGAGGTGAGCTTATAATTTCCTCAGATAGATACAGTCTTACTGTTGATTTTTTTCCCAAAACCTTTATTATGCTCTTCTTAGCTCTGTGGATGGATTGCCAGCATCTTGTTTGAAGTACATTATACTCAGTGTCTACAATTCAGGTTGATTAACTGTAGCTGATTACAGCTTACCTGCTGTTTTTCTACTTTCTGTTCAGATGAACATGACTTTTGTGATTATTGGGGGTAGGAGGTGGAAATCTCTAGGGATTACAGATACACAGGCAGGAACAGCTCCTGATTTGCCCTGGGAGATCAAACCTATTATTTACTCATTTTTTCTGTTCATTAGCTCTTTGAGAAGGCCTGTCTCACCATTCCCTCTCAGTGTGAGTGAAAGGAGCTTCAGGAGACAGCACTCACCTAATTGGGGCAGGACTTTCGTGGTTCAATTCTCTTCCCACAACCTGAAGTGGGACTTGCCCTCAGCCACTCAGGAGTGCAAAAAATAGAAGCAGCTGCCTGAGTGAATTACAAAAAAATACTATTAGCCTTATACCAGCTATTGTTATTTTTCCTGACATTACTTTGTGTTTATTCTGTTAAGATGTTAATGTCCTTAACTTTCAGGTAGTTTTAAGGTAATTGTGTGTGTTTGGACACATTTCCACGAACTTACATTTGAATCTGCTGAAAATGTGATCTCATAAATTATCAAATATATTAATCGAAGAATCCCCACCATAAAAACCTGTGAACAGTTGCTGATCTTAACAGTGCAGGTAGGTAGAGCTGGTCACAAATCCTAAAGGCACAGCTTGAAGCTCACATCTTGTGAGTCTTCTAAAATTGAGATAGACAGTCAGGATCAGAAGTTGTGTTAATGAGTAGATCCAGGTTAAAGCAGGCAGTTTTGAAAGGCCAGATTAAAAATCTAGCAGCCGTTTTTATAGCAGGTTATAAAAACTACCTGGTCACTATGATATTACTAACCCAGGGTGTTACAGAGGCTTCAAATGCAGCACAAAACTTGACTGTGCTTGGACTCAGGTATGGGAGAGGATAATGTATCAGTAATATACATTATATAATAAAACAAAGACATAATGTAGTAATTTTGTGTAGCGAAATCTTACTTTGCCTTCTTTCTCAGAAAGGAAAAAGACTTCACTAGAAAAGAGACTTCAGGCCTAATTACTGATCAAATGGAGCCCCCCATCCCTGGGTGATGTCATCAGAGCAGCATGTGTGTTGACAGACTAGTTTTGACATGTTGGTGATGTCTAGACATACTTTACAACATCCACAGCATAGCTGACTTTACACTCTGTGTCTGGAAAAATCCTCCTCCCACACTTTGCATGTCAGAGCAATACCCAGTGAGGAATCCAGGCTTTGTGCAGATGCTTATATTTGGAATGATTAAAAAAAAAAAAATGCTGTAACAGTGCATTGCAGGAATAGCAGTAGATTGTAGGATTAAGGAGGAAGGCTTTCCATAGAGCTGTGTGGAGAAGCAGGTGGAGGAAATGTGGAAAATACAGGAGCTTCAAAAATGAAGGAAACTGTGTTAGAGTGGCTTTTTTTAATCTTGGTGTTGGATTTGTGAAAGTAACCATATTTCATACTAGTTTTTCATAATAATTTTGGGTGGGTAGTATTACCTACCTAGTTGAAAAACAAGATTTTGGACCAATTTAATTCTTATTCAACCCAAATGAAGGATTTAGTTTAAAACTGCTGGGAATGTAGTGTTAAAAATAAATACATTTTGAGGAAGCTTAAAAATCTGAACTTGTCAGTGGTTTTTGGTTTTAAGCACAAATAAATCCATGACGCTAAGGTGAACTTCCCAAAATGTTTTGATGCCATCAAAACAACACAGATTTTCCAAGAAGGTACTTGAAAAACAGCATTTTCCTCAGCCCTCTGAACAGAACAGCTATCTGCACTTCCCCCAGGGAATTTCATCAGAGGGAACAGTTTATGTAACTTTTCAGAAGCAAATGAAGGAGTGACACAGTTGTCCCACAAGGCTGGGGAGGGTGGATCAGTGACCTCGGGGTGTGAGGGAGCTCTGAGCTGCTGACGTGGGCATGAGGGCCTGGCCTCAGCCTCCAGACAGAGCTGCAGCTCCCCACTGGCTCAACAAGGAGATGCTCTAAGGTTTAGTTTAGTTAAGTAGCTTTTAAGTTCGTTTTTGAGCATTCCCGGGATGATCTCTTTCCCTTCTTAGGTTCTGCTTAGGAGTAAAAGTTCAGTTTTTGACTGTTGTGTTCCAAGACTCAAGAAATAGTTAAAATAACTTTTAATTAGGTTTTTATTTGGGGTTGCTGGTTTTCATTTTGGGTTACATCCAAATGTAACCCAAATTAAATGAAAAGAATGTTTCATTCTGTTACATCCTAAACAAAAGTGACTTAGGTTTACAGGACCCCTGTTAGAAATCCTGTGCTTTTCTGTGGTTTGCATCATGTTTTCCCTGTGCAGCAGCTTGATTCCATGTAGGGAAGGAAGAGTTAAGGGTGATGTTTTTTTCCTGGCAGTCTCACCATCCCGTCACGTTCCAGGAGCCACATGACAGGATGGCACAAATGAGAAACATCCGCCCACACGGAGGATGATGTCTGCCCCAAACTCCCTCATCCCTTGACATTTTCACTGTATCTTATAAATAACTTCTTTTTCATTTGGAGGGAAAATTCTTTTTCATTTCTCTGTAGCCAGAGAGTGGAAAAGAGTGAGAACTTTTCAAATAGAAAACAGCAGGGACACACAGAAAATAAACTCTCCTGATAGGTAATGATAATTCTTCTATTAAATTTTACCAAAACTTGGGGTTAACTTTCATTAAAGAGGTACATCCTAACACTTCTCTCAACAAGCAAACCAGCCAGCAACATTTTAGTTTCTTACCTGTTGTGCAAGCAGCTGTCAAAATAAATTTCTCCCAAATTTCCTGAAAGATTAGGGAGCTCATATTCTTGCAAACTGAGGTTTCGCATTAAAGCATTAATCAATTAAATTAAAATTAAAAGCAATTAAATTAAAAGCAATATGATTAATTAATTAATGAAGATGGCAAAAGCTTTTTTTCCCCCTCCAGACAGTGTAATTGCAGCGATGTGGGTGTCCCTGATCAAAAACATCACTGCTCTGCTTCCACTGGCGCAGCTCCGCCCTACCTTTGCATTTGCGAGGAGATGTCACGTCAGGGTGACATTTGTTACTCTCAAAATCGATTTGAAGGCTATGTGATGCCAGGGATTATGAAATGCCACTAGTCTGCTATCTGTACCAAAACAATGGCAGTGGTTTGTGGAGAAGACAGATGCAGTAATACCAGCCCACATTTCACCAGCAGGCACGGCGTTTACCCACAGGCTGCAGCAGGAGGGGTGTCGGTGACTTTTTCTGTGCTGGACACCTGCTGGCATTACTCAGCTCACCCATCACCAGATGTGTTGTTTCTGTGTCCTTCCATGTGCCCCTGACAGTATTTCTGAGAGGCACATTTGTTGCTGGATTTATAAAGGGGAGGTCTGCCATCTGACACCCAGGTCGGCTGGGAAGCTGCAGCTCTGCCTTGACCCTCAGCTTTCCATGAGTATGCATTTTCCCCCCTCCTACAAAGCAAAAAAAAACAGAATTGGAAGAGTTCTGTCATTGGTCTTGTTCATCTTTAGGGCAAAAATGAGCTGCTGCTGTAGAAACAGTGCACCCAAGCCAAGATTCTCTTGTAAAAACGTGGTTTTCCCTCCACTGCCACCAGTTTCCCCTGGCCTCCTGAAGGATGAGGCCCCACTGGGAGGAATACTCAGTGAGCTGCAGAATGAAATGGTACCTGAGCAGTCTCTCATGATAAATGATAAATTTGCTTTTCAAACTTGGGAAGAGGAATCCTCCAATAAGAGGTTTGGCTTCATTTTGCATCTGGATTTGGCTGTATGTCTACACTTGCACTGTGGCAGATCTTTTTGTGGAAAAAAATGCCACCCTTTTTTAAAAAAAAAAATAGCTTTAAATCAGTGATTAAGTGCATCTGTTTTCTGCCTACAAAGAAGTTAAAAAAGGGAGAAGTGTTATTTCCTGCTGCCTAGAGATTGACAGATAAAAAGAAGAGCACCTCTGGAGTGGATACTACAGTGTGTAGTGAGATCATGGCCTTCAGAAAGACACTAGAAATACCTCAAAAGGCATTCTGCTACTAAAATTTGCAGATAAGGATGTTTGCCTTCAAACTCAGATGTCCTTGTTGACAGTCTTTTCTAGCTAACTTCCTACCAAAACTTGCAGCCTCTCCTACTGCTACAGTGAAGTAGCTAAAATCTGACCTTCTACAGAAAAATCTCTGATCCTCTCGTTAGCTCCTCAGTTTGGGACACTGAATTAATTCCTCTAGCTACCTTCAGCAGTGGAGCAAGGTACCTCCCTCTCTCAAAGACATTGAAGGTACTTAAAAATAATGCCTGTGATATCTTTCACCACCTCCTTTCCTTTGGGCTGCCCATCCATTATTTGACAGAGAAATTAGGAAAGTGATTCTCACCATCAGAAGTTGCAGCTGCCTTGAATAGAAGTGTTAGTTTTTCTCAAATATGAAGGGTGAGTTCTTGGACCATAGTGGGAAAGTGTCATTAGCTTTAATGACACCAAAATTCCTCCAGCTTTTGAAGGTCTTATTCTGTCTTTAGTCTGGGCTGCTATGTATCCAATTCTGCACTGACACGTGGGAAGTACACCGGTATATAAATAGGTTTTAATGCTGAGGGGTTCTACTGGAAGGTTCCATGTGTGTTAACATAAATTGCACAGCAAATACCTGTTCTTTACCAAAAAAATATTCTTAAAGTTTGGATAACCTTTTATCAGAACTAGTGTAAACATAATAAGCTGGAAAACAGCTCATTCCAATAGTAAATTTGCCTGGGAAGATAGTAATAAATAATCGGTAATATTTTTTTTCCACCCCCCCCTTCAAATGCTAAAACAAATTAGCTCTTTGTTGATCTGACTTGGGTGGATCACTGTGTCTCAACTTAAAAATACAGCACAGGGAGTGTGCAAATACTCTGCTAGCATGGGCAGAAGGAGTGGTATCCCTAAAGAATTCTTCACTTCATTCATGCAATTACGAATGCTGGGGGAATGCTGATTGGGATGTGAGGCCCCCAGCATAAAGCACTGGGCATTAAATGCACGAGCATTTCTTCAGAGCAGCTTAGCTGAAGTTTATCATGAGCATTCAGCTATTGCCTAGCAACTTGTGAAGGCCATCAAAGAGCTCTTTGTCCATAGCTCTGGCAAAAACATTTTCTTGCAGATATCCTTATCAGCATCAGAACCAGCGTGAAAACTTAATAAAAACAATTTTATTTTGTGTAAGAGATCAATGCTTGCATGAAACTGTGGCAGTCATAAACCGGTTGGTAACACTGTTGTAAAAGGTGAGTCCAATCTTGCTTTGCAAGATTCTATAAAAATGCTTCTTTTTGTTGAATAATTTCTGGCTTTTCTATTAAAGCATAGCTTTCTTTGATGAAATTTCATAAAAAAATATCACTCTGTACGTCAGTTTTTTAACTTTTTTGTAATCCCTTAAGTATTTTCTAACCTGTTCTTTCTCAAAAATACACATTTGGTTTTTACACCTGTAAGACACAAAACTCAACTTGTTAAGTGCCTTCTGGACTTAACAAAATGAATAGTGAGACTGAAAATTGTTTTAATAAGTAGAGATGCAGTAAATAACTAAATTATTTCTACCTTGCTACATTGGTTCTTTACACTCAGAGGAGTGATATTGATTTTCCTTATGATCAAGAGTGAATATAATGAAATTACAGTGAAACAGAATCGTGTTCAGCAGTCTTGCAGTGTGTCATGTTGTCATCATTGTTACTCACTGGCACTGAGTGTACACTGTTCATTTGCTAAGTAGAGTGATGCCATTCTTCACCTCCTCATAAGGGGTGAAAGTGAGAAGTAAAAGGCAGGTTTTTTCCAGTTTCCCTAAGGGATGATATTCCCCCATGTGTATTGAAGGAGCCTTTTTTTCCCCCCTTTTTTCATTTTTAGTGGTATTTGCTGGCTGTTCTAAGCCCCATGGCTCTGTGCAGCGTGGGACCCATTGTCTTCCCCATCCCGCATCACCCTCGGACACTCTGCTGTCATAAAGCATCCTCTGTGCACAGATCAAGGCAGTATAATTGAGCCTGGTGTTATTGTATGCCACTGGTCTACATAATCTCAGATAATGCACTTTGGTAGCTCTTGGCAACCAGTGGCTTGTTAATAGTGACCATTATACACTGAGCACCGCTGACACCCATTGAGGCTGTGAAAAATGTCTTTTCTGCAGCAGGGTGCAGCTATGTGTGATACGGCACATAACCCTCACGTGGACACAGGGCTCAGCCCTGAGATGCTCTCAGGGTTCTCACAGTCTCACACACCCAAATTCTCAAGACTGGGAACGCAGGGCAAAGCAGCAGCTGGAAGAAGCGGCCCTGTTTCTGGGGGAAAAAATGAATTAAAATGCAGTGGTGTCATGCTGCTCATGTGCACCAGCATCTCTCAAAGTCAAACCCCTCTCTTTAATTTGCTTATCCATAAATGAGTTAATGAAAAGGCTGAACTAGACTGCTGAGAAACAAGTCAGCACTGCCTCTCAAACGTAGATGGAGACAGGAGAGTGACATTGTCTAGGCAGGCAGAAAGTGAAAAAGGAGTGATGTAAGCAGCCTTTCATTTTCTGACAATAGGTTTGTTTTAGGTCAGTACTAATGATCATTGTGCAGTCAGGGCTTTGAGGTGGCCTGTGTACTGTCTGTCAGTATCTGGATTTTTAAAGTCAAGTGTTCTTCTGTCTTGCTGGCACAGGTTGGTGCAATCTGTTGCAACACATATTTGATTCTTCCGTCTGTTGATTGTCCTGCAGAGAAAAACAGTTCAGGAGTCTGGAGTTCCACCTTTCCTCTAATTAGAGAGTTGGTCTTTAGATATATATCCTGCAGCTTTGCAGGGCACATGCTGGGGGGTGTTGAGGAATCACCTCTTAGTCTGATCTATCAGCAAACCATGTAATTATTTTTCAGGATTCTTATAAGCAGTAGATTTTGGCATTCAAAGTTGATTTATTTTTTTTTTCTTCCCCTTGTCACATGTAAAACTGTTTTGCTTTTTTTAGGACTCTGGCAGCCATTGAACCTGTGGCATATTTTGCTGGAAATACTTACAAAGCAAGACATGCTTGTGGTTGGATCCAGTCCACTTTTGGTTCATTCAGTAGAGGCATTACAATAAAACTTGGTTGTTAATGCAAAGTGCTGCAGACACAATACAGTCTGAGTTCCACGGGGGTGCCTGCTGGCATTTAACATGCACAGTGCTTCTTAAAAAGCAGAAAAATTATATTTAATGTTGCTGCAACGTGAAGGAAAATGACAGGCAGACAAACAAACAAACCCAGCAAACAAACAGTGATTGCATGATTGTAATGGGTGGTTTGTATTATGATCTGTGTGTAGAGATTCAGGTTGTGGCCATTTTACAATCAATTTTATACCAAAGCAGGTTAAGCAAAGCAGTGACTGAGCAGCATCCTTAACACTGTGGCAGCGAAGCATTTTGGAATGCTCACATGGTGTGTTTGGAAACCCTTTTGTGTGCACTGCATTTTTCCATTAGGTGCAAGGCTGAGCAGTAATCAGCTCACCACTAATTAGAAATCATTCCATGTCCTGCACCCCATTATTATACTCAAATTATGTCAGACACGAAGAATTCTGAGAGAGGAAAGCTCCTGCAATACCTTCTGTTGTGCCTTTCCCAAACATAAAATCCAAAACCAAAAATCTTCCTCTGTTTTGAAACATCCATTGTGGAGGAAGAAAAAGCCACTTGTGTACCTCTCATCAAAACTGGAATAAGAGGGAATTTCACTGTTCTGGGGAAGGCAGGAACAGAGATGCAAGATTATCTTCTTTTACTTCCCTGATGGTGGTGGTGTTTTGATAAATAGGGTGTGTTTATCTGAGGATAAAGATTCAGCCCTCTGAGAAGCAAAGGTTTAACTTAACTGTGCACAAGAGCTCTTCACAGATGTTTTGTTTGTTTGTGGTTGCAGGTATTCACTGTGACAGTGTGTGTGCTGAGGGACAGTGGGGTCCAAACTGCTCCTTGCCTTGTTACTGCAAAAATGGAGCATCCTGCTCTCCAGATGATGGGATCTGTGAGTGTGCACCAGGATACAGAGGCACCACTTGCCAGAGAAGTAAGGACAACATAAATTCTTTTCAAATCTCCGTTTCTCCCTCAGTTGCTTGGAAAACGTGTTATAAATGATCATTATGCTTTGCTAACTGCAGTGTGAAAGACCAGGAAACACTCCTTGATTCGACATTTTGACAAAACACATAAATATTCAGGGAAAAAAGGGGTTACCTGCAATGAACAAATGTTTCCATCTAGTAATGCTCTTCTGGTTATGGTACAGAATTCCTTTTATTCACTGTCTGTCCTGTGGCACTGTTATGAACATGGCTTTCCAGGAAGTGTTGTAGGGGATTCCATTCTAAAGCATTTCCAAACCTGACTGATGAGCGTTGAGTTTGTAATACAGGTAAATAAAACATACTTAAGTTTCAGAAACTAAAAGCCTTCCATAGAGTCTGCTTGGGATCATTAGCTTAGTCAGCATTTGGGGTTTCAACACTTGTTTTGTAAGACCAGTCAGTGGGATCAGGCCCCACAGAGGATGTCAAATGTACCCCTGCTTCCTTTTGAAAAACTTGTCTGGGTAAAATACAAATTGCTCAAAGAGAGATAGGGATGAACTGAGGAAAATCATGCCAGAATCAGGGAGGTAAACAGTAAGTGTGCCCTCCCAAGACCTGTCACAGTTTGCCAGCAGTCCAGCTGTCTTCAGTTTGAGTCACTGAAGCTGTGAGGGAAAGGTGTTGAGGGAAGAGAAATGTGAGTTGTCTGGAGCTGAAGGGGAGCCCAGTTTCCAGAGCAGGTCTCCCAGAAACAGGATCCAGGAGCAGGTGGGTTAAGGAAAAGCCAAGAAGGTTCTGGCTCTTCCAAGAGTTGCTTAAAAGGCAGGAGAGATGACCTGGAATGGTGACTGTGAGGGAGAAGGGGAACCAGAGGAAGGGGAAGTTCTATCAGTCCAGGAATGGCAAAATTTCAAGCTGAAGGTTGTGACATGGCACTGCTAAATCCCACATCAGTGTGGCATTAGTATTCCTTGAGCATTCCTGACTGTGAGCAGTAATTATTCTCACTATCTAATCTCTGAGGGCCCTGCAGTCAATCAGTGCATCCAAAGTGTAACCCAGCCATGTAAAAATGTTCCCCTGTGTTTTGGAAATGTGCCTGTAACCTGGACAAGAGGTTCCTAATCCAGTGCCCCTCTGAGGCACGGTCTGCAGGCTGGGAAGACAAAGGTCATATGTAAAATTTGGATCCTGGTCAGAAACTGCCTTTTCAGTAAACAGGAAGACCTTTTGGCACTGTTTCACTCAGAGAAGTTAATCTCTCTGGAGAGATCCTGGCCATATAACTTGTATCAAGTGTGTAATTAAAATTCTGAATCTTGAATGAAATTGAAATATTGGAAAGATTCCAAGGTAGTTTTGTCAGTGCTAATTGCAGCTGTTCAGGTATTTCTCTTGATCTGTTACCTAATATTCTAGTTTATCAGGAAATAAATGCCAAAAGGGATTAGATCAACAAAAAAGGAGAAGCAGCCTTTGTTTCCTCCCCTTTTTTTTCTTTTTCTTTTAGAGAACTTGTGCTTTTAGCATCACAATTAACTGGACAGCTCTGTATTTCTGGTCTCAGGTTCTCTCAAAGTTAGGTTGACTCTGTACCATGTAAAAGAAAGGTTGATTGGAAAACATCTGTGCTTTTTATCCAGTGAAGTTATGGCTGTTTGAATTCCAAGTTAGGAAACACATCAGGAATCAAGGTCTAAGATGACCTTGCTTCTCTAGAGATAGAACTATTCTCTCTGTTACTTCAGATGTGCTTCAAAAGATGTCCTTGTTTAGCCAAATAAAGAACATATGCATTCCAAACATTATCCAAGTTCAGGGTGGCTTGACATGTAATGGAATGTCAACAGAGTCGTGATGAACCAGAATACACCAAATCCTTGAGGAGAAGGAGCAGATCTTGTTTTGGGAGTGTAAATCACTGAGCTGCACAAATAACAAGGACCACCACTGGGCTTGGAGAGCAGAGCCAGCTCCAAGCCAGGATGATGGCAGGGCAGCAGCAGTGACAGTCTGTCCCCTCTGGTTCCAGTCTGCTCGCCGGGCTTCTACGGACACCGCTGCAGCCAGACCTGCCCCCAGTGCGTGCACAGCAGTGGCCCCTGCCACCACATCACTGGCCTGTGTGACTGCCTGCCTGGATTCACAGGAGCCCTCTGCAATGAAGGTACAGCTGGCCAGAAGGACTCCATGGGATGCGCTCGCCAAGTGCTGGAATGATTTCCATCACTTGGGAGCTGTGAGGCCAAAGATATTTTCTGTTCTGGAATGTTCAGTTTGTAAACTGAACTGTGTCATCCTTCAGTATGAAACCCTCTGTACTCTCAATTGCTTTATTTGTGTAGTGAATGTGGATATGGTACTCACCATAATTTATAATACCTCACTTTATCCTTGTACTAAGCAGTGCCTTCTCTCGATCAAAATATTGGTTGTTTTCTCCTGAAATGAAGAAAATTAAATCTTGTTCTGATGACTAAGGAGTTCTAATTCTGACAATGCCTTCTCAGTATGTCCCAGTGGCAGGTTTGGGAAGAACTGCGCTGGAATATGCACCTGCACCAATAATGGGACTTGTAATCCAATTGATAGATCCTGCCAGTGCTACCCTGGATGGATTGGTAGTGACTGCTCTCAGCGTAAGTACCAGCTCTTTTTTTTCCCTTTAATTTTAGAACAAAGAATCAGTGTCCAGCTATTTAAAATACCATTTATTTTAATTTTTTTTTGTAAAGAAACACTGTCTTAAGTCAGAAATTAGGACTTCATGGTAAATCATGGAGAGATCCTAAACTTCCCTGGCCAAGGCAAGAACAAAGAAATTTTATCAGACAGGGTTAGTGCTCTGGCTGCACAACCATCCTTGTTCTCACTAAGCAGTCAAACATTTTGTTAAGAAATCTTCCACTATGCCCTTTTTTTAAAGTGCTTGTAACTCTGTGATGGATTTTCCTCTTTCTTCCTTTTTTTAGTGTTTTCACAGATAGACAGTTTTAGTGTGATTCTGCCTCACTCAATGAGTATTGTCTTGGTGTGCTGAACTCATTGGACTCTTGGTTACTGACTCAAAAAGGAGAAGGGAAGGCCCTAATTTTACTACTTTTTGTAAAGTAATTTCATTAAATAGTCACTCCCCATATGCCTGGATGGGTATATGCAACTTACTAATTAGAGGAAAGAATTGTTTTAAGGAAAACTCTCACGAGAAGCATATCCAATCCCATAAGGTGCTAAAATCCACACAGTCTGAAACACACATGTGCCAAAATTTCAGTCAGCCCACTTGTGTGAATGAGAGAAGCTGCACCATACCCTGAAATGTCAGGCATTGTGCTGGGGTTTCCAGGGAAGTGCATTTTTTAATAACATGGCTCATTGGTTTATATCATTTATGGTTTGACTGGCCCAGGTTAACAGGCAGAAGTGCAGGGTAACATCTGGTCAGTTTGGGAAAAGAACCCGAAAAAAACCCCAACTCTCCTGGCTAAATTCTGTGAAGTGATTAGCATGCACAGCCCAGTATGATACCAAAATAAATCTTGGGGCCATTCCTGTGGAAGCCAGTGGCTACAAAGGTCCCTGTTTTTACGGTAAAATAAGTAGGTAGTTGGGAGAGTTGCAGAATAGGGGTATTTAGGAGGAGGATGGACTTACTCACTGAATCAATATCAAGAAAATGGTGCCAGCAATATGAATGGAAGTGTTTATTGAGGCTGTGCTCACGGACCATAACAGAGGAAGTTTATTTGCTTTGTATAAAGGCCTTTCGTTCACATGGAAAATAATGATTCCTTTAATTTCTTTCAGAACCAGCGACCTTTTTTAAACTTCTAACCTTTTGCCTGTATGTGATTTACATCCCTTCTTAGCTGACCACTAATTTCAAACAAAAAACAATAATAAAAAATAATTACAAGGCACAACTGAAGTGAAAGCAACAAAAAACCCCAAACTTAATGCCTTTTTTTTTTCAATTCATCATAATATAATTTTTAATGAGCTCAAATTTGGGGAAAAAGGGTGCTGCTTTGGAAAATTGCATCCCACTTATATGTGAATCATTATGTAAGTTTTTTAAGGATTTAAAGGATTAAAGAGTTTTATTGGTCTCAGGCAACCAGATCAGTACAAAACAATTAAGAGGTACCACCCTTTTAAATTTACACAGGAATAAAACCAAAAAGGCTTCAATGTCTGACCTGTCTCTTCTTTCCTATGAGATACTGACCCTGTACTTCCATAGAACTATTTTTAAAGTACTAAAGAATTATTTATTTTACTATTTAATTTAAAAATACTTAGTTCTACTTAAAGTACTGCCTTCTTTGCTAAAGGAAAAAACCTCTCAACTTGAGAATCCTACTCAAAGAAAGGGTCTATTCTTAGAGTACCCTCTTCACTTAGTGATATTCTACCATGAAGAAAATTATCTTTTGCTGTCTCTGAATAGTAATTAGTATCTTGGAACCACTTCACAGTTCTAGTGGCAGCACGTAGCATCAGATTCATCCATCATGACATTTCTAAAGCAGCCAGTAAATTCTGTCTCATAATGAGTCGACATGATTGTGAGCAAAATAATCTCCATTCTGTGAATAATTGCTTGGTATTTAGAAATACTGTATTGATTATGGGACCCACGGAAGCAACTGAATTAACCAGATTAAGGTACAGATCTGATTATCTTCACCACGTTTAGGCAAATACATGAAATTCCACAGTGGAAGCACAAGAAACAGGCTCAGTATTGAACTAAAGCTCTAAGCTATGTAGGAGTTTAAACTTCTCTGTTATTGTCCATTTTTCGAGATTCAAAACCTGTATCACCTTAACTGCTTGCAGAGTGAAAAATAAGGAAGGAAACCTAATGGCTTTCTCTGCTATGAGTGTCCAATTTACTGAATATCAAGTGTGCATTTTTCACACATTTAATATCTTCCAGCACTTTTTACCTGGAGCACAATGATGCCTTAGCTGAAACAAATGAATAAATCTGTGGCTGTTTGTTCAGAGCAGAGCAGCCCAAAACATGCACTTGGGACAGAAACAGCAATCACCAAACAAAGCAGTGCTCATGTGTGAATGGAAGCAGCTCTATTCATGTGCATCAAGGAACCTTTGTCATTTGAGGTTAATTAATTGCTCTGGGTTGTTGCAGCTTGCCCACCTTCTCACTGGGGACCAAACTGCATCCACACGTGCAACTGCCACAATGGAGCTTTCTGCAGCGCCTACGATGGGGAGTGCAAGTGCACCCCGGGCTGGACTGGCCTTTACTGCACACAGAGTGAGTGAATTTTGTGTTTAGTCTGAACATCAGTGACAGAATTATCCTTCAGAACAGCTTGAACCTGGAATTCAAGTACTGATATAGGGGCTGTTTTCATTTAGAACTCTGAATGATGATTTCGCTAGACTGTAACATCATAATTTCTGTTTGAATTTTCTTCATTTAATAATGCATTGATACTGTTTTTTGTTCCCCAAGAGTTTTTTGTTAAATAGCTGTGCAGTGACTGGGTGTAGGTATGTGGCATTCATTACATGCTGGCTAAGAGTTCATAAGAAATTGGAGAAATAAATATTTGTTAGAAATAAATAGGGGTAAAGTTGACTTTTTATCTTTTTCATATTACACTTTCAGTTTGCTTTACCTTCAATTCAGGTGGCTGTCAGCCTGGCCACAACCCCTATATTTGACCTCAAGAAAAACAGGGCTGCTGACTGTGTTTTTGCATTCAGTGTTCAAATACAACGTTTTCCATAAAATCAGAACTTAGCTGTTTCAAATGAGTAATTCAAATGAGTAATGTCACAGTGGCAAGAAGTAACAGATACACTACGGGACCATATGGATGCAGTTCTGGGAGACATCCACTATGCTGGTTCAGCTGTCAGCTGTCAGGGGTTTCTTGCTTCCTGCTGGTGAATAATGATCTCTTTGCAGTGGTGTGTCTTCTTCATCCTGAAATGGTTTCTCTGTCAGTAGCTCAGGTACAATGTGTTGCTGTTTTGGCTTTTTAATGCTTCAGTATAAACTACAAAGGAAATATGTCCAGAGGTTCACTTGACTGATGGCCAGACTCCCAAAGTGCCCTTGTCCTCCTCCCTCAAATCTCTTTAGGAGCCCATTTCTTCAAGGAGCTGTCTTTTCAGAACCTCTGCTGCCAGCACCATTTCCCCACCTCGTTGTTTTTTTGCCTGCTGTGTGTTTTAAACCTCTCCAGACAAGGCAGGTCTGGGTCCCTTGTGCTGACACAGCTCTCCCTTTCTGAAGCTGCAGGAGCGAGCCCTTAGCAGCACACTGAACTAGAATGTTCCACTCCCAGAGCAGCTGTTTCACCCCTCTCCCCCCTTTCCTCTGCTTGTGTTGCAGGGTGTCCCCTGGGGTTTTTTGGGAAGGACTGTGCCTTGATCTGCCAGTGCCAGAACGGAGCTGACTGCGACCACATCAGCGGGCAGTGCACGTGCCGGACGGGCTTCATGGGGCGGCACTGCGAGCACAGTGAGCACACCCCTCTCTCTGCCTTGGGACACAGCCTCTGGCCTCCAGGGACTGTCCTGTTGGCCACAAAGCTGGCCACAGGTTTTCCGAATAGTTTAAAACCCGACAGAATGAAGTCTTTACCGCTGTGGTGTCTGTTACTCTGCATTGCGTTTTAGTCACTTAGGGCGTTAACGCTGAAAGAACACCCCACTGCTCCATCATGTAAAAGCTACAAAATGAGTCCAAGGAATTCTCATTAGCACCCTGTGAAAGCAATGAAATACATCCCTTAGAATAAACCACAGTGACAGATAATAGCTGGAAAACTGGAGATAAGAACTAAGCTGGTGGATGGAATTAATCTTCGCAGTGTGGTTTTGCAGCGCAGCTGGTTCTGAAGGCGTCGTAGGTGGCGTTTTGTTTTCACATGTGTGTGGTTCCTCTCCTCAGGAAGATCAGGGATAGCACCACTGACACCACTGGTGGCAAAATGCTGTACACAGCACTAAAAGAATAATCAGGCTCATGAGCACAGGACTGTTTGTCCAACCTCTGCCGACCTTACGGAGCTGTGCTCCCAAATTTGTGCATTCTGATGACATCTGTGTTTCTCCCCAGAACATCACTAATGTTCAGGAAAAGATGACTTTCTAAGATAGTCTCTTGATGTCAAAACATCACTTTGAATAATTTGGCAAATCTAACTCTGTTATGGAGTTTGTACTTTATCCTACAAGTTGATAATAATGACTTAACAACGTTAAGCTGAATGTTTTGGTATTCATTCTACTTTGGGTCTTGAAGTGCCAAAACATATTATGACATGATGGGTTTTGCCCACCCAATTACCTCAGTATTTATAATCTTGTTTTCTTCAGTGTAATCAAGAGAAGGAGGAGGAGGTACATAAACACAAAGTTTTTCACTTGAGCTGGGATTTGTCAAGACTGTTCTCCGGCAGCCATTGTGTTATTTTATTTTCCAAATTATTCCAAATTGGGAATGCATGAAAGATGAGTTAGATTCTTTTAAAAACAGAAGTAAATATGGTTGCAGAACTCTTGAGAAATTTCAGAAAAAGTGAAGCAATACTACTACACTTGCTGAAACCATCAGAGCTACTCTAATGTGACAGGTCACACAGTACCAAGAGGTGGCAGTATAAAATAAATATTTTTTATTAGTGTATCAGGGTAAACATCTACCAGGATACCTAACATGAGGTAGAAGACACTTTGGTCAGTAATTGAGTATTGTACTAAAGTGATTTGAATGATTAAGTACAACTTCCCCAGTTACTTTATTCTCCATAATTTGTTATTTTTCTCCTGTCAGTAGTTTCTCAGTGTATACATTACAGTATCAGAGCATGATATGGGCAGCAGTTTTATCTCTCTGTAAGTGTGTGGTGCATTTTAGACTCGGGGCCCTTTCCTTTTGCTGTTTTACATCAGCACATCTGTCACACCACAGGACAGCATCCAGGTGCCTGGCTCCACCTGTGTGAGAACGAGATTTTTCAGGCACTGGGATCTGAATCTTCTGGCTCTTTATTCACACCTTTCCCATTTCTACACTGCCTTTTACCCTTTTTATCTCTTTTGCTTTTTTTTTTCTTTTTTCTGTCCCCTTGACTGCTCGCTGCACTGCCTTAGTGGCATTACAGGGGAAGGATGAGCACACATCTAAACACAATTCCTCTCTCTCCTGCACACCGAGGGCTCCCTCCTAGGAGCATTTCCAGGGCAGGTCTGATGCTGATGACACATTGCCACCTGCTGCCCACAAAGCCTTCAGTGAGTTTTTGCTTTGCAGAGTGTCCCCAGGGCACATACGGGTATGGATGCCGCCAGATCTGTGACTGCCTGAACAACTCCACCTGTGACCACATCACAGGGACCTGCTACTGCAGCCCAGGCTGGAAAGGGGCCAGGTGTGATCAAGGTAAAGCCCAGAGACACAATAAATAAATTGTCATCTTCTCACACAGGAAATGGATTCACCTGTTAAACACCACCTCTGTGTCATTAAATAAATCTGACAGGTTATTTAAGTAGCACATTCTGTTAATTCATCCCAGTTTTGGAGGCTTTCAGTTAGATGCCTCAGTGATAATTAACTGGAGCAAAGTAACTGGAGTGTAGACTTGCATGAAATGACAGGGCTGGGCTGCTCAAAAGTGCTGATGGGGCATGGAGTTCACCTGCTCCATGCTTTCACCCAAAGAATGTTCTTACTACTTCAAATTAATGAAAGCATCTCTTTTCTGTGAAGATTCTTAGTGTTCTTCCTTAAATTTAGGATTTGTTTCTGACAGAGGTCTATTCTGGCATTATTAAAAACAGTTGGATTTAGAAGTGAAATTTTGTCTCCTGCTCATCTGGCCCTTGAGGATTCATGCCACTTACTTTCAATTCTTCTTCTGTTCCAGCTGGTGTGATTATAGTGGGGAACCTGAACAGCCTGAGCCGTACCAGCACTGCCCTCCCTGCTGACTCCTACCAGATAGGAGCCATAGCTGGCATCATCATTCTTGTCCTGGTTGTGCTTTTCCTGCTGGTGCTGTTCATCATTTACAGGCAGAAGCAGAAAGGGAAGGAGACACACATGCCCACCGTGACCTACACCCCTGCTATGAGGGTCATCAATGCAGATTACACCATTTCAGGTAGGTGATGTTTAGAACATTTTTTTTCCCCTCCTCCTCCACCTCTTGCCTTTGTGCTCATATCTGCCCCTCACAGATTTCTGTGAAAAAATTCACTTATTCCTGCTTTTTGTGAAGGTGGCACACTGGGGAAAAATGTGTTAACTGTAAAGAAAAGTGACCACCTACCCCACTTTACTGTGCAACATTTTGCACCCTCCAACTTTCTTTCTGCATTAAATAGGGACATTTCTATCATCTGTGCCTACTTTTATATACAGCTTGAGTGTGGCAAAATCTGGTTTCTGCAAGGGACTTTAAATTCAATGCCAACAGCTTGAATAGAGAAAGAGCATAGAGAATCAGGATTTCATGCTATCTGTGGCAAGATTCTGCAGAGGAACAGCAAAAGGTTTGAAACTAATTAAGGGAGGAGCAGTGAAATGGGAGTTTCTGACCTATTAAAGTGCCTGTGAGTTGGGGTTCAGTGGGTACATGAAAGTTTAGGTAATTGTGGCACTGCTGAGGAAAGCAGCAGCTGAAGAAGGCAGCAGGAGGACTTGTCAGAGCTGAGAAAAAGCAGATCAGCAAAGATCCAGGTGTTCCTGAAACACCAGAGAATGGTGGTGCAGACTTGGTGATGGCAAGTGACTGCAGTGATGGAAAGGAAAAAAGAGAAAAGGACCACAGCAGAGAGGGGAGTTAAGTTAGCAGGTTACACTTGTGAATGCTCCTTGCTAAAAAAGTGAGGACACGACTTGTCACTTCCTGCCCTGTGTCTGTAATTTATTGGAATGAGTAAAATTTAAGTTCTGTGTTTGTTGGGGTTTGTTTTTTTTTTTAAGAAGCTCTAGGTCAGATTCAGAAATCAGTGCAGCACTCTCAAAAATTTAATAAAGAAATTCCATGTTATTTTCAGTTGTTCATTTTCCTTCATTTTTCTTTTCAGAAACCATCCCTCATACCAACGGTGGAAATGTCAACAGCCACTATTTCTCCAACCCCAGTTACCACACTCTGACTCAGTGCTCCAGCCCACCTCATGTCACCAACATGGAGAGACTGGCCTTGGCCAAGGTAAAGCAGAAAAACACAGAGGAAACTTCTCTGACAGCCTTCAGTTTATTTTACATTGTTCCCTGATCCCTCCTATTCGGCTCATTTTTGCTCTTCCCAATCATCACCTGGAAATTCAGCATCTTCTTCACAATTTCAGTTTTATTGCCTCTCTTTCTTTGAAACAGGCGAAAAACAGCCAGCTGTTTGTGAACCTGAAGAATATGGAGCCTGGAAAGCGAAGTGGTGTCATGGACTACACAGGAACACTGCCAGCAGACTGGAAACACGGTGGCTACCTCAATGAGCTTGGTAAAAAAAGGGCAGAAACAAAAGGAGGAGAATGTGAATGTTACTCATTGCATGTGGGATGTATCCCTTAAGGCAGAAGAGATAAGAAAGTGACCCCTTGTGAGGAATGGTGGAACAATTTTTGATGATCAGTGAAGACACAATGTGTAAAATATCCCATTTTTATTAAAAGAGTTGCTTATTGATTAGTTTCCTAAAATAATGGGGTTTTTAAAGTAAGGGTCTGCTTGGACTAAATTACAAATTCTTAATAATTGAAAGATTGCATATATTCTTTTTCTTTTTTAAAATCACCACAAAATGCAATCAGTGGTTTAAAAAGTATTTTTTCATTACCTGAGCCACTTTATTACTATTAAATAGTAGATCTTCCCAGCTCAGCCTCCTGGCATTGTCTTTAAGAGAAATTCCTGAGAAATGTTGAGAGTTGCTGTATCCTGCTTTATGCTGTCCTTTCACCCTTTTCCACTCTCATGCATTCCAAAAAGGCTGACCAGTGAAAGCCTTAAAAAGGACTTTCAGTGTCAGTATAATTCAGAAAATGTAATCACCTTAATTTCTGGTATTTACATGTATCAGACTCTGGGATTCAGAACAACAGGAAGCAGCACTGGGGTTTTTTTTGCCCTGCTCTTCCCCAGCCTGCATCAAACTGCAATTCAGGCTCAGCTCTGTTGTGTTTGAGGTTTGTTTGGGTTGTTCTGTTGTTTTTTTTTTTCAGGAAAGGATTTCATTCATAATGCTCAATATTCAGCTTTATGTTTTCACAGAGCATTTGAACTTGCTCTGAATGCTCCTCAGAGACACTTGCTGTGGTTAGCCCGAGGCAGGAGCTCTTGAGCAACAGGAAGGCTGCAGAGGACTGGATGAATGCTGATGTTGTAAATGTTTCCTAGAAAATCAAATAGGCTAACTTGAGGCTGGTGACCTGAGCATTAAACTAGTGAAAACAGGACAGCTGACATGAGATCTAATAAAGATGGGGAAGGAATAAAACTAATTATGTTTAAGTCTCCTTAATTAATATAACTTCCCTCTTTAAAACTACTAATTTTGTTTAGATAGTGCACAGATAAAATAATTTTAGGCTTTTATAGTATTTCTAGCATAGTTCCCACAATACAGCATAATTTAAAAATTAGCTTTCCACAATATCAATCAAAGCTATTTGAATAGATCAGTAACCAGTAAAGTGCCAGGTCTCTAAAGACAGCTGTCATGCCCTGCAGTTTACATTTACTGACAGAAATCTGTCAGTAACAGCTAATTGCAGATTCAGGTGTGAGGTGTTCAGCCCCTGGGGCTGGAGCAGAGTAACCCTGACTTGGAAGTGATTCAATTTGGAAGCAGAGCATTGAGAATTGGGAGTGAGCCCTGCACACCCTGAGATTTTCAGGTCAAGGTGGGATGCCTTTCAGGTAGGTAGGGTTTATGCAGACAGAAAAAAAAAATAAAAAATAGCAAGCTTTAGTCCAACAGCACTTACTAGGATTATTCAAGAGTGAGTAACTGGCATTTTGTCAGTCAAACTTGGTATTTTATTGGTCCCTTACAACCCCACCTTCCCTGTTCCTGTTGGAAAACGTGCAAGGAAATAGTACAAGTGCTTTTGTACCCCCATCCTGGGCAGTTTCACAGTCCTTTCAAGAGAATCACTTCACCAGGGCAGAAATGGGTCCCAAGGCAATTTTTAAACATTCAGAACCTTTTGTCTAATCACAGTTGTTTTCTTTAGTTTTAAAACTGCTCTGTTTTTCTGTATCATTTTCTCCTCAGGTGCTTTTGGACTTGATAGGGGATATGTGGGGAAGTCCCTGAAAGGTGAGGTTGTTTTCTGATGTATTTAGATGAAGCTACATAGGCATCCCTTTTAATCCTCTGAATTACCTTTGGTTTCTAGGTGAAGAGAATATAAAAATAATTCTGGACTAAGTTTTTCCTAGACACTGAATCTATGCATGATTGGTTTGTTTGCTGGTATGAGTTTATCTTTATTGAAGGCTGTTGGGTTTTGATTTTTTTTTAACCAAAAACAACCACAAACCAAGCCATTTTAAGTCCCTTGTGTGTCACATAGATTAAATGTTTCCTGTTGTGCTTGAGTGACAGCACAGCTCAGTTCTAGAGTGCAGAACACATGCTGCCTCTGCTGGAAGGCTCTAAAAGAGAGACAATTCCAACTGCAGCTGGTCTGCATGACCACAAACCTTCACCACATCCACTGCAGGCCCTTGGGAGGGATATCAAAATACAGAGGCACAGACAGGAATGAAACAATTCCGAAATTCAGGGTAGTGGTGTGATATTTTTATCTTCTGAATTATCCAGTTACCTGCAGCACTTTACATTGTGTGCCACTGTTTGTGGCACCCCAATTAGGGCAGGCCAGGGATATCCAAACAGTGGAAAAGGTGTAGCAAAGTCCATGTGAATGATGAGTTAAACACATGGACAGAAAGCAGCTGTCCCCTTGTGTGCAGTAGGGCACAGTTGACAGATTTATTGCACCAGGTTTTTCCTGCCCTTGGCTCACAACATCCCCCTGCAGCTCCAGGCTGGGGCAGAGGGGCTGGCAAGCTGGGAAAGGCCCTGGGGGTGCTGGTGACAGCAGCTGGACACGAGCCCAGGGGTGGCCAGGTGGCCAAGAGGCCGATGGCCCCTGGGCTGTGGCAGCCGTGGGGCGGCAGCAGGAGCAGGGCAGTGCCCGTCCCTGTGCTGCCACTGCTGAGGCCACAGCTCGAGTGCCGTGCCCAGCTCTGGGGCCCTCAGCACAAGACAGAAATTGAGATGTTGGATATCAGGAAAAATTCCTTGCTTCCAGAAGGGGCTGTCAAGCATTGGCCCAGGCTGCCCAGGGAAGTGGTGGAGTCACCATCCCCAGGGGGATTTAAAAGATGTGAAGAATTGGCACTTTGGAACATGGTTAGGTGGTAGATTTGGCAGTGTTACATAAATGGTTTGACTCAATGATCTGAAAGGTCTTTTATAATCTAAACAATTCTACAATTCTGTGATTACAGAAAGCCCAGTTGAAATGAGTCACAAAATCATGAGCACCCATCCATTGACAGGTCCACCAAAGTCAGTCTTATGTTAAATAACACAGTATATCATAAAGCAACACAGAGAACAAATTAACAAACACCACAAAATCACTTCCCAGCACAAGCAAATACCAGTTTTTCACCCTTCAGTTAAATCCTGGTATCAAAAGCCACCTGAGGTTTCCTTTCCTGTTCTCCTCCGTGTGCCTCACAGAAATTTAGAAGAAGCTGGTTATTCTTTTAGTGTACTCAAATACTCAAATTTTGTACCACCCAAACCATCCCTAGAAATCATGCTGCCATTTACCCAGACATTGCCCTTTGCAAGAGTCTCAGATCAGTTATTTTAAGTGTCCTGACTTCAGCACCTGGAGGAGCAGAAAGGGTTCTGAAGTGCTTGTTAAAAACTGGTTGTACAGCTTATGTCAATATAATGCTAAGTACTATTTTAAACAGGATTGAAGACACTTGGATTTTGCAACAGTAATTTGATAGTGGCAAGATCAAGTCCATTAAAGAGCATAGCAGTTGAGATGCTTTCATTGATTGTTGAATTTTGAAGTGTTATGACTGCTTTTCATTTAAATATTCACTTCTGACTGACCTTTCAGAACTCAGCAATAAAGAAAAACCTTTTTTATTTTGGTAGCAACATCCATAGCACGCAGCATGCTCGAGACAGTGACACAATTTTCTTTTGGTAGATCTGGTGAAGAACTCGGAATACAATTTAAGTAATTGCTCACTGAGCAGCTCTGAGAACCCCTATGCTACTATCAAAGACCCACCAGCTCTGGTGCCAAAGAGTTCAGAATGTGGCTATGTGGAAATGAAGTCCCCGGCACGCCGCGACTCCCCCTACGCCGAGATCACCGGCTCTGCCACTGCCAGCAAGAACGTGTATGAAGTTGGTAGGTGCAGAATCCACCTCTGTGTGCTGGGGGTTAGGAACCAAGAGCACAGGGCTTTTTATTCTTCGATTCAGTTTCATCAAAGACGTGAAAATCACCGGAAAAACAAAATTACGCATTCGGATTCTGTTCTGCTCAAAAGCTGTAGCAACAGCAGCGTTGTTACTCTTTTGGTGTAATTCACACAAACAGGCTTTGAAGTACCTTCAGCTTTGTTCTGTAACCTACAGGTACCTCTGAATTTCCCTGATGTGAAAGCCCTCCTTTAAACAACACCATAAGTTAAGCTTAGCACTGATTGCAGTGGAGTTCAGCTCTAGGTTAGACTGTAAGGGAGGGTTGAAGTTCTGTTTCCTTCTCTTGATCAGAATAAAATCTTCACCCACAGATGTAGCATTCCACTGAAATGGGCCCTACCTAGTTCCTGTAATTCTTCAGTTAGAGGAAACTTTGGGGTCCTGTGGAGTGGTAGCTACTATCCCTATCATCTCTGGGCTGTGATAAATTGTGTGCAGTGTCACAGGATGTATTTTCCTTTTCTGCATGCAACTGGAGATCACTGAAACCCATCCACATTCTGTTTTTAAGGACTGTCATAAAGTCTTGATTAAAACTCTCAAATTCAGGTTGTTCTTTTGTTGGGTTTTTTTAATTTCCTGAAATTAAAGACACATCAAGAACAGATGCTGTCTTGTTTCTGTCAGTGAAGACCCTCACGGCAGGGCCCTGCTTTAAGTGTGAAGCCAAAACACCAACCTGTGTTTCTACAGCTACATTTCAGGACTCAGCAGGATGAGGAATCTTCCCACTGAAGCAGAAACTGAGATGAAGTATCAGTGTTCTCCCTAAAGCTGAGTGTGCTTTCTCTCTCTCCTGACAGAGCCCACGGTGAGCGTTGTCCAGGGCGCGTTCGGCAGCGGCGGCGGGCGCTTCGGCCAGGATCCCTACGACCTCCCAAAAAACAGCCACATTCCGTGCCACTACGACCTCCTTCCCGTCCGGGAGAGCCCCACGCCCTCCACAAAGGAGGTCAGCAGCGAATGACCCCGCAAGAAGCTGATGCCTACAGCCCTGGGACTCTCAAGGGGCAGAGGGGCACGGTCGCGCTCCTTCCTCTCTAGTTTACCATCTCTCTTGGCTCTGTCCGGCAGATAATTGCTGTACCTTGAGCAGAATCTCAGCACGAGGTCTGTATTGCGTATACAAGTGACAGATGGACAAATGCCACACTCTGGGGATCCTGATTATTCTTTTTTCTTTTTATTCACGGCAGTAAATTTTATAGAAACAGGTATGCAACACATTTATACTGTAATATACTGGCTTAAAAAATAGTAGTTTGCAGATTAGTCTTGGTAACATCACATTTTAGGGACTTCAAATATAGGCTTCATGTCTGTCATGTTCCAGAGTAGTAATGCTCCCAGGACAGTGCAATTTACCAAATACCACTTTGTACAGGTGATCTGATTCACCAGTTGCTCACTAGTTGAAGGAGAACTGCCTTGCCAAATTCTACCTTCCATTCTTATCTTTAGTCAAGACATATTACAAGAAAAAACAAGATCTGATGGGGATAAGGAAGCACAACGTTGCAGTTGTTTGAGAAATCCATCATCAGGCTTTGCCGTCCATTGCAGGTGGTGGATGTACTTGGCTTGAATAGTTCTGGAGATTAAATAATTGCATACATCAGTATTTACATGATGCTTCAAGATCTCTTAGTACTGCAGACCCAGCACCAGTCTTCAACAAGTATTTTGCTACAGTTCAGCTTCATACGTTGCAGTTGTGACCACTATTTCTGCCACACACAAGCTAATGATCCACAACATATCAGTTTATTGCTTAAAAAAAATATGTAAATTGAATCAGTTTATTTTTGTCACCATGGACTGATTATGTAAGGAGTGGACAAAGGTGATGACTTCTGTAAATCTTAACTGCAAGGAAGGGTTTACATTTTATAAAAAGGTAGTAATAATTACTGTAATATAGGATAAAAATAGTAAAGTGTTCTGACTTCTTTTTTCTTCTAAATAACTAAGCAAACTCTGTGCATACTTGCTAAAAAGGCACCTTTTCTTTTTTATAGTCGATGTAGGGAAAACACATGCTTAAGCTGGTCTTTTGCATTGCTAATAATGTGACACATGTACCCCCCCACCTCCATTAACTTCTATCTCCATTTTTATGCTGCGTGTCTGTGTTTTTAGTGAACTAGCTTGTAACTGCAAAAATATTCTAGTGTGTGTGTCCATTTCTTTTGCATTTTTGCCAACTGGCCTTTATTTTGTCCGGTTCAAAGGACCTCTGGGCAGAGCAAGAGGATCAAAAGTAAGAATTCACAGTGATGTCTATCAGAGGTGATTAAAGAATACCTAACAGTTCAGATTAATTCATTAATTCAGGGGAAGAAAATTATTGTGGTTTTTTGTTGAGAATGCCAACAAGAACCCAGAAGAAAAGTAAAGAAGCAGCTCCTCCCTTGTCCTTGTCCCAAGGGTTGGTGTGTTGCTGATGGATGGGGAAAAGGATCCTGGCTGCTTTGCAGTTCCCTGGGCTTTTCTGTTGCATCCTTGGAATAAAGAATTCCATTATGGTTTAGATTTGGAATGTACAGGTATTAGCTATGAGATTTCTAAGGCTGGTTGCCATTTAATCCCTGTCTAAGATGAAGTATTGATTGGGTTTGTATGCATCTAGATAAAGTGTAGAGCTACTGGCATATATATTTTTTTTTGTATTGTGTGAAACAGACTTTAAAATAAAACCTTTCTTCTCTGAAGCCATGAATAGAAAACGCTGCACTTAAAAATTGGAAGCTCACAAAAAAGTCTTGCTGTTTTTGAAGACCACTAGGTAAATTGTCTTCATCACATGAAAAATTAACATAGGAAAGTGAAGAGCTGAATAAATGTTGGGAGTTTTTTTTTTAATTTCCAGTATGCCACATATCCTCGAGTGATACATTCACTCAAAGAGTCATGAAAATAGATGAGTTTACTGTAATTTTGCTTATGGTGTGTGTTCTAAATGTACACATCACTGAGGTCTGCCTTTCTGCATGCAAGTGAAACTCCTGCTGTGTAGTCAGCAGCAGCAGTGTCTGCATGAATCTGAGCTGGATCTGCAGTACATACAGGGCAAGCAAATGGCTTGTGAATTTACTTCAGAGAATGATGGCTGGTGAGGTGCTCAGAACACTGATTTCCTGGAGTGCACTCTGCTCTCAGCTTCAGAGATCCCCAGTCAATCCTCATGACTGCCAGACAGCTCTTCTTGTAGATCCCACTGTGGTCTTCACACAATTTAAATACTTCTGAAGGTGCATTCTCTAGGGTGCAGGGGCAGACTGAACGCATCAGTTGATGGAGCAATTTTAGCAAGCACTCAGAGAACTGGCTTCACCACAGACAGGAATGGAAAGGGATGCCTTGCCTCAATATATTCACACTGCAATAGTGACAAAATACAGCACTGAAAATGGAGGTAGCTCTCCCCTAGAGGCGTGCGGCACCAAGTTAGTAGCTGACTTTAAAGTAGTGAATATAAACTTTAGGCTTTAAATACTGTAGGCATTATTAATTCAGGCCACTTAGAAGCATAACGAACCTCACGGCTTTCTACTATATCCAAGATTTTAATCACAACACACTGTTACATATAAAATCTGTCCTTATCTTGATCTACCCAGAGAACTTCCATTAACTTTAATTGGAGATGTACAAGCAGATTATGGGAAGGAAGATTTCATTGTACTCACACTTTCTGCTGAGACAATCCACAAGTTCATATTGAAGTGAAGCTAGGATAAAATCAAAAGCAAGGAATGTGTTACTCTAAATACATTGGATTTTCAAATACACTAACAACAATTTTTTATTCAGTATGTATCCAAATAGTAATTCTTACACCGAAGCTCTTAAGTCCAGACTGAAGAACACAGAGCTAGTTTTGACAAAAAATGCTTTATATTAAAGATTGTACATACAGTATCTGAAATTACTGAAAACAAATGAGTGTATGTTTATCAGTTACTGTAGAGAAAACCTTGTCATTTGATACACTCATAGTAGTGCTAGAGCACTGAACATAACTTTTCTTTAGCCCCCAAGACTTCACTTTGATATGATTGAACTGTATTGTATTTTTAAAGAAAACCTATCAAGTATGCCTGGCTTTTTTCTTAGTTGTAACAAAAAAAGTGTTTTGTTGTGAAAACATATATATATTTTCCAAAGATGACTGATGTTCATCATTCTCCCTCTCACTACCATGTATTTCACGTCACTTCACATACCTGTAGGTTAATACAATAAAGTTTCTAATGAAAGATGGGAAGTGCTTTGATTTTTTTATTTTTTTTAACTTCGATTTTCATTTGCTTACCGGGGAATCTTGAAATAGCATGACAAATGTATGAAATGTTGTTTTTGCTCTCATGGTTTAACCCCAGCTGGCAACTGAGTACCATGCAGATAGTTACTCATTCCCCCAGGAAGGAGTAGAGGAAAGGAAACTCTGTGGGTTGAAATAAGAACAGTTTAATAATCGGAAGAAACTAAATAAAGTACTACTACTAATTGTAATACAAAAACTGAAAAGTACATCCTAGAGGTCTAATGTTTCAGATTTTGAAAGCTACAATCCAGAACTGCAAAAGTGTAGTCCCACTTTCCAGGCTTTTCTGTGCAAAGCTGAGAACCTCAGCATCCCTTCAGTGCTGTTTGTAGCGGTTCGGCCCGACCCGGATAGTGGGTCCGGCTGCTGCTGCCATCGGGATCACCCATTACTGGTGACTGGGATACGAGAGAGATGAGTCTGATCCAGTTACACAAAACTGAACTTATTAATAATAAGACAAAAATAACAAACAGGATGCCGCTCCTACAACTAAAAAGTCTCCAGGCCATGGTTCTGGGCCTGACCTGTAGGAATGGTGTACATTCCATGTGGTGTACAGTCCGTTATCATTACTGACCAGACAGTCGACAACTCCAGTCTGGTACCTGCTGGCATTGAGGTGGGAAGGTCGTTAATGACAGGTTTTAATTGCTGACCCGAGGCCCTTGATGTTCTCCAAGGTGGGTGGCAGGGAATCTCGTGTCGTTGCGCACCGCTGTAACGCGCTCCGATGGAGGTTCCCCGATAAACAACAGCAATGTCCCTGCACAAGCTGAGATGGATTAGTGCTTTATTTTTACTGCAGTCACATTGTTCTTGGAAGACCTCCCTTTTAGGTTTGTTACAATTCTTTGCCCCATGTCCCTTTTGTCCACAAGCTGTAACAATACCCAGTTTTCTGGTTTTGTTGCTTTTGGGAAGCCTTTTGAAAAGTACTTAAAGCACTAGTCAGTACTTCTGCTTGAACAGCAGCAGCATGCACAGGAGTAGCTGATTTGCTACAAGCTTCCACCATCTGAGGAATACAGGTCTCAGGCTCTGACCTCAGTGCACACAGAACCTTTTTGCATTCCGGATTAGCATTAACTACAGCCACCTCTTTCAGCAATCTCTCCTGCACTCCATCTTCCTTGTTTATTGATTGCTAATATAAGGCGATGCAAAAATGCCATATAGGCCTCAGTAGGGCCCTGTCTGATACCAGCATAGTCCAATTTGGGCTTATTGGCATCTGGTATTTGTAGCAAGGCTTTTTCTGGCTGCGTCCTTAATATTATTAACAGCAGACCTCGGTAGATTTATAGCTTGCTGATCTGGGTCCGTAATGGGCCTGCTCTCCGGCCAATTGTTCCATGGTCAGTCCTGTTCTGGCAGGGTCTCTGGCATAATCTTTGTTGCAGCTTATTTAATAAATGTTTCCACCCAACTCTCACGATCAATATTCAGTGGAATTTAGCAACGATGTCATGAGGTAACGTCCACCATGTGGAGTTGTAGTGTGAGCGGAAAAAGTTGCTGAAATTAAGCTGGAAAACTATGGAGAACCCCTTCCATATTCTCCAGCTGCTTTGCTTAGTTATTTGATTTCGCTAGAGGCTGGAGCCTCCCAATACAGATTGACTCTGCTGTTACATCAGATAACTTCCAACCTTGTCACCTTCTTTTTACCACTGTGCTCATTTTTTCCCAAGTCATTTTCCAGAATTCTGGCTGGGAAAGATCCTCTTCGGATGAGGAGGATGAATCAGAGGGGGAGATGCCACCTTCAGCTATGAGCACCCTTTTGCATTTGCGACCTTGCCTTAAGCCAGGCCCTGCAGAAGGCCATGGTGACCCAGGCACCGCCATCTTGGAGGTGGGCCCTTCTGGAATTGCAGCAAACGTAATTCCGGTCTCCTCAGAGAAGGTGTGGCACTTACGTTTAGGAAGGTGAGGTTCCTCTGGGTTAGTGGGTGTGCTGCACAGAGGCATGGGCGAGATCATAGGTGGGACTGGAGGTGGAGACTCCCAACAGACCAGGGCATCGATCAGAAATGTTAGTGCGACCTTCAAAATGGCCAACATTCTTAAAATGGCGGTCAGGGGTGCTGTAACCACTGGTGATTATCGTGGAACTGGACTGCTTGGTGTTAGTTTGGTTGGTGGGACGGAATGGAAGAGGTCCAAAATGACCTGCGCACTTCCATTGTGGATGTCAGGTGGAGGGTCCGATGACGATGGACACAGGGCAGTGGAGTCACCGGCTAAGCCACGATTCTCCCCAGGCCAGCCACCAGCACAGGCATTTGCCATCTCAGCCCCATGTCAGTCCTCGGTGATGTGGTTAGATAGGGAAAGCCGACTGGAAGATCTAGCGATGTACGGGAAGATAGGGCCCCTCTTTCTCCAAAGTTCTATAACCCATAATATCATGGTGATGACATAATCATAACTCCGTCATATAAAACCTTGCACATCGGAAATAAACACTCTTCACCGTCCACCACATTGGTGTTCGCGTGTGATTAGCCCGACAGGCCTGTACGTTAGCTGTCATGTCACTCACGAACCGGGTCACTACACCTCATCTGAGGCAACGTCTGGGATGGTCAGAGGAGAGATTTTGAAGGGAAAAGTGGGGTTGTTATTCCTGTAGTTTCCTGAGTCATTGTTTTTTTTTGCTCCTTTACAAACAACCTTGATTTCATTTCCTTCTTTTCTTCTTATTTTGCCATGCTGAATACTGTTTGGAATATTTGGATTAATTTTTGTGCAAAGCTATTCCGCTCCGCTGCCAAATTTATGAGGTTTTTTTCCCTACCGGGTCCCAAAATTCAGTCAAATATATCTTGGGCTCAGTGGCTTCTGGAATATTTCTAAGAACCCATTGAATTATATTTTAGAGCTCTTTCTTTTGGAATTTCTTTCCCCAGTTCGCCAATTTTAACTTAAAAGCTTCAGAGATGTCTCTCTCCACTACCAACATCCCTGCTCCCATCCTGAAACTAGTTTGAAATGCCAACCAAAGAAAGAATGGCGTCGAGTAGATGGGGTCACCCTTCTCCTACCTTCCCCTGAAGGTCGTTGCTGAGGCAGCTTCCTTCCAGCTCCTTAGCAGCCCAAGTGTCTTCCCACTCCGACCCGCTGCCAGCCGTTCTCACTCCGGTGAGAATGGCAATGGCCTACGTTCAGCTCCGAAAGGTAAATCTGAATCCTGACAGTTCACCTGGATAACAGGGGACCTGTTGTAAATAAGGCTTGGACTTTTTGGGTGAAAATAAAAGTCAGCTCATTTAATAAACAAAAGGAAACACCAACAGAGGCAGGAGCCCAGGATAAGCCCGAGCCCCACTCAGCAAATCAGACAAACCGCAGCAATACCCTGGGTGCTCCTTTGGACTATTTTGTTCCGCAGGAGGACCCGGGGTGAAGTCCTGCTACTGCCTTTATAACCCCCTTCTGTCATGAATGATAGGTTCATTCTTGATTCTCTCTCAGATTGGCTCGTTTCTAAGGCTCTCATTAGTCCTTAACAGGGTGCACTCCAGAACAATCATTCCTCCAGGGCATCGAGTGGTTGGTCGGCCCTTCCACCAATTGTTGTCCGAGATACAGATATCACTTCTATGAGGTCATGTTCTGGAATGTTCTTTCAGTTCACGAGCCTTTCACGTTGTTCGAACAGCATCTCATTAGCTTTAAATTAATCTTGATTCCATTCAATCCCACGCAGATTACTGGACTTCACCCCCTTCCCTTATAGAAGCAGGAAATCCAAACTCCCTATCGACAAATACAAACCATTAATTAGGAACATATATTAAATAACAATTATTGACATCTTATAATGAAATGCTAACAATTAATCAATTTGTTGCAACCACCGATTTACTTGTAACAGGTCCCTGTTCAGGCACCACCTGTAGCAGTCTGGCCCTGACCCACAGAGTGGGTCCAGCCGCTACTGTCGTTGGGATTACCGGTTAATGGCAACTTGGATTCAAAACAGACGAGTCTGATCCAGTTACACAAAACCAAATTTTTAATAAGGCAAAAATAACAAACAGGATGTCATACACGTAACAGGAGATGAACTGGAAAAGACCAGGGTCCAGGGTCAGGCACAAGTAATATATACATTTACACAGTACACATATATACAAGTACTATGCATTTATACATTATGGAACAGGGAAGATTTAAGGCAAGGTCTGACAGAATGACCCATATAAGGACAGAGGATTAGGAATATTAATAATAACTGCAGGAAAAAGTAACCAATAGGAACATGAGGATCAAGGAACATTCTGGTAATGATTAACACAGAACCAATGGCGGACCTTTGGGGGTGGGCTTAAAGCTCCCTCATAGAAGAGGAAGTTTCCCATGGCTTTGGGTTGAGCTCTTCCTCTTCTATCTTTGTCGAATCAACCCCAACAGTATTGAAACAGGGGGTTTAATCGTTAAGTAATTGACTTGTTTTACAAACAGCCACCTTGTTAATAAAAAGGTAACAGTGATCCTGATTACGTACGGTAAGCAGTCACTGGTTATAAATTAATATTCTCCGTAAAGGGTCATGTTTCCATGTAGGAATAAAAAGGGCTTGGATGCTTCATGGAGCCACAGAATCAATCAGGATGGGAAATGTTGTGGTGTAATGTATTTCGTTATGTAAGTGGTTTATTCCCCGTTCCCCCCTGAATTTTGTATTCCCCTTGGATGTCTAGCTTCCCTGGAAAGTTCTCCATCCCTCCCCCCCTTACTTGTCACTTCCCCCTTGTTTCAGGAAGTCCCTTGTCAATCCCTCTTGGTGTACATGTCCCTATCCTGCAATTCCCCTAATACTCGAAGCCGTACATGACTGATCCCTCAACTATTAATCGTCTCCCTTCACTCCTCCCTCCCAGATTCCCTATTGGTTGGAGTTTTCTACCTTCCCCTTGAACATCCC